GTGGTTTGGGATGGAGGGAGGGCTGAGCATGTCGTGGCAGGAGGGTCCTGAAGGAGGAGGAAGACGAAGGTCCTCCCCAGAAGACAAGTGTACAGACCTAGGGCAGCAAGTGCCCAGGTCTCTCTTTCCCATTTCCAGAGGCCCAGGATCCCCCCATCATCCTCCTCGGAACACAAAAGAAGGCTCTGTGCCAGGGGGGAGGCTGCCGGGCTGGAGCCTCCAGACATGAACCTGCAGGAGTTTTCCAGAGATATCAACAAAAAGGCCTAAGGTTCTTTCCTTCCCTCTTCCTTTTTTTTTTTTTTTAAGATTTTATTTATTTATTTGACAGAGAGAGACAGCAAGAGAGGGAACACAAGCAGGGGGAGTGTGAGAGGGAGAAGCAGGCTTCCCGCTGAGCAGGGAGCCCGATGCGGGGCTTGATCCCAGGACCCTGATGCAGGGCTTGATCCCAGGACCCTGATGCAGGGCTCGATCCCAGGACCCTGGGACCATGACCTGAGCCGAAGGCAGACGCTAAACGACTGAGCCACCCAGGCGCCCCTCCCTCCCTTTTTTTGAAGTGGGAGGTTGGGGCTGTGGCCTTGCCCCCACCTGTGGGAGGGGTCAAGGTGGGGCAGCTGTGACCACGGGGGGGCGGGGGGTGGGACAGAGGAACCAGGGGCTGTGGACACCACTAAAAATCCCTCCAGTCCCATTGGCATCCCTCCTTCGCCCTGAACAGTCATCCTGCCCCTGCCACCCCCAAAAGCAGGGCAGCGAGGAGGAAATGTCACAGGAAAAGCAGAAGAGAGAAGACCCCAGCTCTGCTGGGTCCCAAGATCACTAACCATGAGAAGTGCTGGTACATACCAGCCACCCAGAAGAGGTCACTTCTCTCACACACCCACATTCCAGGGGGAGGAACAGCACTGCACAGCCAGGATGGATGTGAGCAAGAAGGGGCAGCAGACCGGGCCCCAGGCCCTGCACGGGAGGCGCCAACAGCAGAGCAGGGGAGCCCAGGACTGCTTCGGACAGATTGAGGTTGATGCACAGGAGGCAGGGAATTCAGCTCTGGAGCCGGAAGAGGGGCCGGTACTGATCATTCATTTCTTCAGTTGTTGAGCAAATATAGTGTGCCAGGCTCTGTTCTAGGTGCTGGGGACACCACAGGGACGAGGCACAAAGCCCTGCTCCCCGGCAGCAGACAGACGACAAATAACCAGGCTCACAACTGCAGATGGCTCAAACCAGATTACTGGGGAATCTGGATTCATCGGGAAATAGTTTGAAATGATTTCATTTCTCCAGGCACCGCCTTGGCTGTGCTGGGCGGAGGCTGCTCTCCCCACAGCAAGGGGCAGCTCCCTGCCCAACATCTGGCCAGATTCGGAGCCTTCTCCACCTGCCAGGCTCGAGCCTTCTCATTCTGGGCAGTGTCCCGCGAAACTCCGGTTTCTTGGTTTCTCGCTTGATGCAAAACTCTTCTCACCTCCTTGAGCTCAGGTGGAGCTTCAGAAGCTCTGTGGGGGTGGGAGGGGGGGCGGAGGGCTCCCCTCACCCTCACTTCTCCACTGTTGGGTAGGGAGAGGGAAAAGGGCGCCTGTTCCTGACGCGAGTGGGCCAGGGAGCCCCCAAACCACAGTGCCTTTTCGATGAACAGCACCAGGGGTCTGACTTGCCCACCAACGGGTCGTGCACTTGGGGCACCCCTCTGGGCACAGGGCCCCGTACCCAGCAAGGACCCACACTTGCCTTAATATGCTGCTGCCTTGGTCGGGAGATTCTTAATAACCGTTGAACACGGCGCCCTGCATTTTCATTTTGCACCGGGACCCCTGCAAATTCCATAGTCGGGCCCGCCCGCCCGCCCGACATGCATGTTAGGGCAGCGTGCAGCTGACAGCATCATGTCGCACCCCACTTTGCCCCCAGTGCTGCAACAGTCCCCAAAAGCCTGAAGCCACAGACTCATGCGCACTCGGGGCCAACTCTCCAGCCTGCGGGCACACGTGAGATTGCCCTCGGTAAATTCCGAGGGACCAGGAACCTCAGGGTGGGAGTGTGAGCCTCTGCTCCCTCAGCAGCCCCCACCCCGCCGTCCCTTCGGGAGTCCCCGGCAGGTCCGTGAGTCCTCTGGCTAAGCCGAGCCCCAGTGGGACACAGAAATGCTATCCTCTCCCTCCTGCCGGCTCCCTTGATTCCTGGGCAAGGGATTCCTTCATCCCTCCGGGGACCCTGCCTCTCCTTCTAGCTCTGCTACAGAAGTGAGGGAAGATGCTCTCCCCAACAACTCTGCACGGGCCCCCCCCACAGCTCCTCACCCCCACCCCCAGCCCAGCATTTCCGCCTCTCCACGCGGGGGAGGGCCTGTGGGGAGGATGTGGGCCCGGCACTGAGCCCTGTGGTGGGAAGGAGGTCTGGGGGGGCTGCCACTCAACCAGCCTGTGGGAGCCTGAGCCCCTTGGAACCGTCAAGACCCCACCAGACAGCCTGCAACAGAGAAGCGACTGGGCTGAAGAAGGTGCCAGAGCGGATGTGGCCGAGAGGAAGAGGAGCTGCTGGGACGGGAAGAGGCCAACACAGAGCAAGACTACCCATCACCAATAATAAATAAAAGAGCTGCACGAAACGTGGATTTACACCTGGTTCTTAAGAGGTGACCTGAGGAAGTGGATGAAGCTGACCGGACTCGGGGTGGGGTGTGTGTGCAGGGGTGGAGAAGCCCCGGCTGGCCCTGGTCACGGGAGGAAAGGGGGGGGTAGGGGTCGAATGACTCACAATCTGCTGTAAGGCCCCTGATTTTCCTTGGCGGTGGTGGGGTGCTCACCCTGAGGTGAGCTGGGGCAGAAGGGGCAGGAGACAGACCAGCAGCTCCGGGTCTTTTTACTCCTTCCACCGCACGCCTTGAAGACCCGCGGAGGCCGAAGGCGGGGGAAGGCGGCTCAGAGGCTCCAGCCTGGCCCGCCTGGCTCTGGCAGGATCCAAGCAGCCGAGGGACTGAGGTGCCCAACGTGCAGGAAGTGCCCTCCTCCTTGAGGAATGCCCCCCGGGGAAGCGGCCACAGGGGGCTGCTCCAGGCCTTAATCCCTTCAGCTTGGACGCCTGCTCCAAGGACGGCCTGCAGTGTTGGCCTCTCCACCCAGAGGCCTGTGAGGCTTTCCACCCACCTTCTCTGCTTTCTGGGTCCCCTACCCTGCTGGCTCTTTCTTGGAACCACGAATAATTTCCTTTGGACATTTTCTCAAACCTCTCTTTATGCTTCAGGTACAGGCCGTGTGGAGTGAACACCTCCTCTGCCAAGAATCCGAGATCATGCATAAAAAGATAGATTTACCCTATCTAGATATACATCCTATCTAGAGGGATAGATATTCTGATGAATCCAAGTAATTTCCAGCTTCACAATAGTCACTCACAGTGACCCTTACTCAGACACTATTTCGTGGTATTCCTGAACCAGAGGTATTATCTTCATGAGGGGCGGTGGTAACCAGGGAGGGGAAAGGAGGCATATACAGTGGTGTGCTGGGGGGATGTTGAGCTGGGTTTTGGGGGGCGAAAGGCAGAGGGGCTCTGATTTACAGCGTGTGGTGATTTTCGTGTTGTAAATACTCCCACTGTGGCTGTTTTCAGGTTACCAATGTGATGTCACCCAGGGCAGACTTGGGAAGAGATGCCAATCCTCAGCTCTCAGGAGCCAGGATGATCTGACTCCAGCACACCACTGGGTGGGGGGCAACCTCCAGTGGAGTTCCAGAAGTTCCAGAAATCTCTTTGTGGCCAGTGCCCAGAGAGGTGGGGAAGAACCAAAATGATGGGACATCTGTGATCAAGGGGGAAGAGAGTTTCAGGCAGGAAAAAGAGGTCACGCACACTGCCTGCTGCCCAGTGGCATAGAAGGAAGAGGCTGGAGAAGCTGCTGGATTTGGCTGCCCCCTACCCCCCGCTCCCCACAACTCACCCATCACCCCTAGGACCCCTGGCTCAAGGCTATCTCTGCAGGCCTGGGGCTCCGTCTTATGAAGGGGGGCAGCTTCCCATCAGAGGCTCGTCCACCTGCGCAGAAAGAGAAAGGGCTGGAGAAGAAAGGACAATATGTTATGGGGGCGACATCATGACAGAATCCAGTCTGGGAAGGCACCAGCCCTGCCAAAGCCACCCTGGATCCCCAGCATGAATTGGGGTACCAAGATCCTCTTTTTATTTTTTTTTTTTGGCCCCAGGACATTCTGTGGGGCAGAAGGGCACCTCCTCTGTGCCCCAGGTGGGAGCTTGGTCCTAGGAGAGCTGCTCATTTGTGGCCCTTCCCGTGAGACTCCAGAAGATTCCCTCCTGCCAGATCAGGGTCATAACAACTGAGAACAATGCTGGACAGGCCGAGCGAGCACTGCGTAGGGGCAGGGGGTCTGGGAGAGCGTCAGAAGCTGCTGGGGCCTGGCCGACCCAAACTGGGCCACTGGGGGGGCCTTTCATGTCCGCCTGCCTCTCGGGGGCTGCCTTTGCCTCTTCCCACCCCACTACCCCCAGTGCAGCAATTACGCGCTAATTAGGGCGCTTTGATCATCTTTAGAAATGGCTACATGGGGGAGAGACACTGCCAAGCAATTAGGGGCAGAGGGGCTGGGAGCTCGGGCACCTCCTCAGGGGGTGGGGCTGCCGAGGACCCTCAGACACCCCCTGCCCTCCTCCCTCCAGGAGGATCTGTCCCCAGCATGGCCATAAACTCCTCAGGGAGTACAGGCGGATGGGAACCCCCCCATCTGAGCCCTGGAGACGGGGCTGGCCCCTACCCACCGGCCCCCCTCTGCCTGGCCCCCAGCCCAACCGTCAGCTCTTCTGGCCTGTCCAGCCCCCTTTGATGGAGCCGCAGGAACAAGGGCTCCTTTGACAGAAGGGGGGCCTCAGAGCCGGGACCGTGAAACTTCAAAGGTGAGGGTCGAGCCCACTACCCCGATCCCTCCCCCAACCCTGGCCCCCCTCCCGAGTACCCCCCCAGTCTGTCCTCTATATAGCCCCCCAAGCCCCGTTCCCTTGTGGGCTCCCGGGAGTTAAGGGCCAGGTGAGGGGCCGCCTGAGGGAAGCGGGTGATTTTGATGTAGGAGAGCAGTCAGGTGATTTGGGCGACAAGAATTCAGTGCCCAGAGGCAGAAGGCGGTGGGAGGCGGACACCGAAGGATAAGCACCTGGAGGGTGGACCCTGAGGGGGAAAGAGGACAGGGTTGGGGGGCCCAGCTCCCGGCCATCATGCTGCTGCCCCTCGTGCTGCTGTTACTGCCCCTCCCAGACCCGTGGTCTGTCCATGGGCACCCGCCGTACGCGCGCCTGCCCCCCAGCACCCTGCGAGGTGAGCCCGGGCTCGTCTGAGGGGGCGGCCGGGGTGGGAGGAGCACAGAGGAAGTGGGTCCCAGGGCAGGGGAGCATGACCTTGCCACCTGCACTCATTGAGAACTTTGGCCCCCCTGTCGGGTGAGGGGGGCCAGGAACTGAGGCACAGGTGGGCGAGGAAGGGGGAGGACAAGGGTGCAGAGGGAAAGGGACCTGGCAGGCATCGCCAGAGGGTGTGCTTGGGGGAAGGTTCCAGGTTTAGCAGGAGGAAGGGGTCCAGGGTGGCATCTCCTTGGCTTGACCACTGTTATTTTGTCAAGAAGCCCGAGTTTTGTGATGTCTCTACCTTTGGGGTGCTGTTTTTCCTTCAAGGTTTTTTTTTTTTAAGGATTTTATTTATTTATTTGACGGAGAGAGACACAGTGAGAGAGGAGCACAGGCAGGAGGAGTGGAGGGGGGAGAGGCAGGCTTCCCGCCGAGCGGGGAGCCCGATGCGGGGCTCGATCCCAGAACGCTGGGATCATGACCTGAGCCAAAGGCAGGCGCTTAAGGACTGAGCCACCCAGGCGCCCCTTCCTTCAAGGTTTTTAAGGAAAGTCCCCTTTCAAAGATTCCAGCCTGGCTCCGTTGAATTACAGAGAGCTCTTGGGTTGAGAATCTGGGGCCATCTGCTTTGAGTGCTGGGCCCTCGGGCCCTGGGGCTCTCTCTCGTCCCCTGGGGCTCTCTCCCATCCCCTGGGGCTCTCTCGTCCCCTGGGGCTCTCTCCCATCCCCTGGAGCTCTCTTGTCCCCTGGGGCTCTCTCCCGTCCCCTGGGGCTCTCTCATCCCCTGGGGCTCTCTCGTCCCCTGGGGCTCTCTCCCGTCCCCTGGGGCTCTCTCCCGTCCCCTGGGGCACTCTCCCATCCTCTGGGGCTCTCTTGTCCCCTGGGGCTCTCTCCCATCCCCTGGGGCTCTCTCCCGTCCCCTGGGGCTCTCTCCCATCCCCTGGGGCTCTCTCGTCCCCTGGGGCTCTCTCCCATCCCCTGGGGCTCTCTCCCGTCCCCTGGGGCTCTCCCGTCCCCTGGGGCTCTCTCCTGTCCCCATTCTGCCCTGGCGCTCCTGGAGCCCCACCTGCTTCCGCCTGGCTCCCAAGGCAGGCTCGGGGCTGGAGCCTGAGCTTCTTCCCAGCCGCGCATGCCTTGGGCCCCATGTCCCAGCAGCTCTGTCCGCCCAGGGCACGAAAGCATTGCAGGCTGCCCGGAGGAGCGCCCAGTGGGCAGTTAGTCGAGTGGCGATGGAGGTCCAGCACAGGCTGCATGAGTGCAGAGGCTGCGCCAACCACACCACCCCATGCCCGGGTGAGCTTGCACTGGCTACCCTGGGCCCCGTCTCCTGTCCACCCCGTCCCTCCCCTCCACACTTGACTCCCTCTTGGGGACGGAAACTACGTGGGGCTGCCACCGAGACAATGCTGACGAAGGTCTCGCCAAGTGGAAAGGGCATGCCAGGCAGGGGGCACAGCCGTGCAAAGGCAGGAGGCAGGAAGAGTCTGGGCTCATTGGGTGAACAGCGAGAGGTTCATGGCTGCTGAAATCGACCCTGACTGCTGGGGGGGGGGGAGTAACAGAGGGGAGCGGTAGGGCGGAGAGAGGGCCCAGGCTCTGCCTGGGGTGCAGGAAGGGCGGGGGGCTAGCCGTGAGGCTCAGAGGTGCGTGTCTCCGCAGGCCCCGGGCGCCCCAGGCCTCAGGACCCCCTCCTCCAGGATCCAGCCGAGCCAGGTGAGGCTGAAAGGGCTCGAGGGGGCAGGGCCGAGGAGGGCAGGGTGAACCCCGGAGGGGCCTCGAGGGGGAGGGCGGCCAGGACTTGTCCCTTGTGACGCCGATGCCACCTTTCTAGGGCCGTGTGGGGAGAGGCGCCCGAGCGCTGTCAACGTGACGCGGGCCCACGGCCGCATTGTTGGGGGTAGCGTCGCACCGCCGGGGGCCTGGCCCTGGCTGGTCCGGCTGCAACTCGGAGGGCAGCCTCTGTGCGGCGGCGTCCTGGTGGCGGCGTCCTGGGTGCTCACCGCGGCGCACTGCTTCGCGGGGTACGTTGCGCCCAGGCCCCTGACCAGCCCACATCCCCAGTGCGGGGTCCGACTCTTCCGGGGTCGTCGGGCGGGCGACACGCGCGAGGGCCGGTCTCTGCTGCCCCCTGGCGGCGGCCGCCGCCCCCCCCAGCTCCCGGCCTCAAGGCGCCCGCGCCGCCCAGCCCGGGCTCGGACGTCGGGGGACGCCCGGCCCGGCTGGTGGGCCTACTGGGGGCCACCGCCTCTCCCCGGCCCACCCTCCCTGCCCCGCGAGAAAGAGCGGAGAAAGAGCGAGCCCGGCGTGCGGGCGTGCTGGGTGGTGCCCGTGCGCGGAGGGCAGGGTCTCCGGGGGACTCGTTGCCCCCTTGTCCTGAGCCTCACCCGCCGCTCGCCCCGCAGCGCCCCGAACGAGCTTCTGTGGACGGTGATGCTGGCCGAGGGGCCCCTGGGGGAGCAAGCGGAGGAGGTGCCGGTGAACCGCATCTTGCCCCACCCCAAGGTGAGAGAGAGGGCAGCCCCCAGGCTCTCGGCGTTGGGAACAGCACCCCCACCCCACGCTTCATCGATTTTGCGCCGCCACCCCCTCCGCAGTTTGACCCGCGGACCTTCCACAACGACCTGGCCCTGGTGCAGCTGTGGACGCCGGTGAGCTGGGCAGGGGCGGTGCGCCCTGTGTGCCTGCCCCAGGGGCCCCGGGAGCCCCCAGCCGGCACCGCTTGCGCCATCGCGGGCTGGGGGGCCCTCTTCGAAGGTATGGGGCAGGCCGGGGCCTGGGTGAGCCGCGGGTGTGAGTGGGAAGAATGGGGGGCTAGGGTGATGGAGTTGGGGAAGGCCGGGTATAGGGAATCTGAGCTGCGCCCCAACGCCTTCGCAAAATGCTGTGTGATCTTGAAAAGGGGGAGGAATCAAGGAGGGCTGTGGGAGGGGGGGACCCTGTTAGCGAGGCCCCTGCCCTCCAGGCCTGAGCCTCCCTCCACCGCTTCCCTGCAGAAGGGCCTGAGGCTGAGGCGGTGAGAGAGGCCCGAGTGCCCCTGCTCAGCGCTGACACCTGCAAAAGGGCCCTGGGGCCCGAGCTGCACCCCAGCAGCATGCTCTGTGCCGGCTACCTGGCCGGGGGCATCGACTCCTGCCAGGTATGAGCCCTGATTGATTTAGGGTCCTGGGTGGGCTGCTCCCCAGGGACAGGACAACTTCCTTCCTCCCTCCCTTCCTTCCTTCCTTCCTTCCTTCCTTCCACAGTCCGGCTGTCACTCAACTTGTCTGAGCTTCTGTGTCCTCATTGCTAAAATGGGTACAAGAGTGGTACCCCAGGGTGCCTGGGTGGCTCAGTCGTGAAGCGTCTGCCTTCAGCTCAGGTCATGATCTCAGGGCCCTGGTATTGGGCCCTGCATCAGGCTCCCTGCTGGGCGGGAAGCCTGCTTCTCCCTCTCCCACTCCCCCTGCTTGTGTTCCTGCTCTCGCTGTCTCTCTCTGTCAAATAAATAAAATCTTAAAAAAAAAAAAGTGGCACCCCCAGGAGAACTCAGAGCTGCCTTACCCTGCCAAGTGCCAGGCTGGCAAATGAGAGGGCAGGTCAATGTAGTACCCTCTCTTTTGGCTCGGGTCCCGCAGGGTGACTCTGGAGGCCCCCTGACCTGTTCTGAGCCTGGCCCCCACCCCAGGGAGGTCCTATACGGAGTCACCTCCTGGGGGGACGGATGCGGAGAGCCAGGGAAGCCCGGGGTCTACACTCGTGTGGCCGTGTTCAAAGACTGGCTCCAGGAGCAGATGAGCGGTGAGCGCCCCTTTCCTATTCACCTCTCCCCGGAGTGTCCTGCGCACAGCCCTTGGGACGAGCCTGTCCTCACGCCGCCCGCCCCCAACCCCTTACTGCGTCGGGGAAGCCTGCCTCCCTTCGGGGGAAGGCTGCGGGGGCTAGGGCCCAAAGCCGGGGCTGAGCTGGCCGCCGCTGCCGCCTGCAGCAACCCCCTCCAGCCGAGAGCCCAGTTGCAGGGAGCTGCTGGCCTGGGACCCGCCCGGGGAGCCGCTAGCCGCCGCGCCCTGCGCCTTCTACGCCCGCCTGTGCCCCGGGCCCGCGGCCGCCTGTGCGCGGCTGGCGCACCAGCAGTGCCTGCAGCGCCGGAGGCGATGCGGTCAGTCCAGTGCCCAGGGCTGGGCCGGGGACCGGGGGCGTGGCCCACGTCTGACCGCCGCTCGGACCCTTGTCCCGTCCGCAGAGCTGCGCTCGCTGGCGCACACCCTGCTGGGCCTGCTGCGGGGCGCCCAGGAGCTGCTCGGCCCGAGCCCAGGCATGCGGCGCCGGGCCCCGGCCGCGGCTCGCCCCGCTCTGTCGCTCCTGGAGCTTCCCAGACACCCCGCCCGCGAGCAGCGGCTGCACCCAGGTACCTCGCGCCTTCACACTCCAGCCCCAGCACCCCCCCCACCAATTGCGCGGCGGAGGCGACCCCCTAACGCGGCGTCTCCCCAGGATCGCGAGCGGCGGACGCTCGGTTCCCGAAGCGGAGGCCAGAGCAGGGCGAGGAAGTGAACGGTAATGCCGCCCCCTGCCGGCCTTTGCCGGGAGAGCAGCAGGCCAAGGGTCTGGCGCGGCCCTGAGGGGATTCTTGGGGCAACCTGCAGACTCGCTCTCCCCACCTGACCCCCCCCCCCGCAGTAGGGAGGATGACTCTTTGGGGGGACTTGTGGCTTTGGGCCCCCCACATTGTCAACAGAGACTATCTGCTTTGTGTCATCACTTAACTTCTCTGATCCTCAGTTTCCCATCTGTAGCACGAGGAGAAATCTGCCCACTGGGAGGCGGTCCTGAGGTCCTGGTGGGAATCCCACTCCCAGCTCCTTGCTGGTGCCAGTTTTCTGCTATTCCCAGGACCTCTCTCCTTCCTGCAGGCTGCCCTGGGCTGGAGAGCCTGCAACAGAAGTTGACCACCCTTCAAGGCACCCATGCCTGGATCCTGCAGGTCCCATCAGAGCACTTGGCCATGGACTTTCATGAGGTACGTCCTCAGGCTTCCCACATTCACTCACAGTGGCCTCAGAAGGCTGACCTGGGTCAGCCCTGATGGGTAGGGGGACGAAGGGGCACCCTTTTGTAGCTTGGGGTGGGGTTGGGGGTGTCTTGGGGGAAAGGGTCAGGGAGGGCAGCTGTATGTAAGCTGGGGTGCTGGGTAGATGTGAAGGTGTGGGGGGAGTGTGAGTGGAGGGGCATGTGGGGGTGTCCAAGTGAGCAGGAAGTGTGCAGGATTGGCGGTTATGGGGGAAAGTGGATCTGGGTGAGAGTTTCTGGGGGCCAGGAGGAGGGGGACCAAGAGCCAGGTTGTGGGGCCCTGAGCTCCCTCCTCCTTCTGCAGGTCCTGGCAGATCTGGGCTCCAAGACGCTGACTGGCCTCTTCCGAGCCTGGGTGCGGGCAGGCTTGGGGGGCCAGCACGTGGTCTTCGGCGGCCTGGTAGGCCTAGAGCCAGCCACAATGGCTCGCAGCCTCCCCCGGCTGCTGGTGCAGGCCCTGCAGGCCTTCCGCTTGGCCGCCCTAGCAGAGGCAGAGGGACCCCAGATGGGTGCAAGGCAGAGCCAGGGGCTGGGGAGGAAGGGGCACCCCCCACTCAGTCCTCGGATTTCTCCAGCCAGGGGGCCATGAACCACGTCTGGGCCCCCAACCCCTGGTCAGGACCTACCGCTCCTAGGGGCTCCTATGATGACAAACTGTCATGGCCACAGTTGACTGGGTGTGTGTGTGGGGGGGGGCCTGGGTCCATGTGTCTTCCCAGATGCGTCATCAGAAAATCACAGCTGCTTTAATAAACGTTATTTATGATCTACAGAGATAATTCTGGAGCTTTCTTGGGATGAGAACTGGGTGGGTGGATATTAGACAGGCCAGACAGGGCCCAGCCTCCAGAAGCTGTTGGCAGAGGTCACAAAGACACTGGAGAGAGGCTGCTAAGCCCCCATTTCCCCATACTTGTCTGTCCCCCCGAGAAATAGCAACAGCTGACCTGTCACCACTCCCCTACCCGTGGCTGACCAGTGTCCAGTGCCTCTACCCAGCCCCCACCCCTACTGCTAGTTGTGGGGAGTTCCAGCCTGGGATCTTTGCCTCGTGTCCTTGGGCTCCTGCCTGGCGGCCAGTCCCCATCCCCACCCCCTCGCCACCTGCCTTGGGTTTTCTACCCGCAGCCATTCCCAGAAGTGTCAGATTGCGTTTCCGGCTGCCGCTTCCCTTTGCACTCCCCCCCCCCCCCCCCCGCACCTGTCCCCTCTCCTACCCACCCACATTCCCTAGCCCTGTAGACTGGAGGGGCAACCACAAGACCCAGTCAGAGGGACAGGATGGAGGGGCCAGTGTTAACGCTGGGGCTGCTGATTGTACTGGTTGTGTGTGGTAAGACTGGACATCACCCTGCCCTGAAGGTCCCTCAGGGCTCGCACCCAGGGCCCCTACCGCACGGTTCCCTCTTACCCCTCCTACCCGGTGTTCCGTCCCTTAGCATCAGGCCCAAACCCCCACCCCCACTGCCGTTTCTCCCTGGAGGGGCCGGAGTGGTTAGATCCCCCAGCTGAGCCCAGCCCCATGGCCCAGCAGGATTTCAGGGCAGCTCCCTTCCCGCCCCTCCCTCCCTGCACCCCATCCCTGTCCCTATCCCTCCCCAGGCAGCTGGGGCCTGAATGAGGAGGAGCGGCTTATTCGGTACCTGTTTGAAGAGAAAGGCTACAACAAGGAGCTCCGGCCTGTGGCACACCAAAGGGAGAGTGTGGACGTGTCGCTGGCCCTCACGCTCTCCAACCTCATCTCCCTGGTGAGAGGCCCCTCTGTGGTCGGGCTGGGGACGGGAGGGCAGGGACAGCTTCCTACGGGCTGGCTGTCTCCCAGACTGGGATGGCCAGGGAGGAAGCCCAAGGCCCCAGGCGGGACTATGGTAGCTCCTCTCCTCCCAGGGAAGCAGGCTCCAGCATTCTCCATGCTCAATGCTGCCCACAGGCTTCGGGCGGATGCCCCCTCCCCTCCAGCTTCAGCTCTGGGGTGTGGCCCATATCAGACCCCTGACCCTTTTCAGAGGCCACGCCCATCCCGTCCCTGCTCCTTGGTCTGCCCACCACCTCCTGACTGTGAGTGCTTGTGACAGGGGTTAGGCCAATTGCCATGGTTTCCCCGGGGGGCCGCTAGGAGCAGGTGCCTGGTGAACGCGCGTAGGTGAAAGAACCATGCGGGGCTTGGGGGACAGCGGTCTTGTGTGATTACAGAAAGAAGTTGAGGAGACCCTCACCACTAACGTGTGGATTGAGCACGTAAGAATACCCCACTCAGAGCTGGGGGGAGGGGGGTGAAGGTGCAGGGCCCAGGCTCCCCTGTGCTCCCTTTTGCTTGAGCATCTCCAGGAGGGGATCCTCCTGTCCTCCAGGAGGAACTGGCTTCTATCCACAGGCCCAGCTGCCCTTCCCACCACCTTGTACTAGCTCAGTGAGAGACTTCCGGTAGATCGGGATTCTTCATGTATGGGAAAATTGTCACAATGTCCTGATTTTATTAGAAGACACTCTTCTGCCACCTGTCAGAAGTTCATAATACAGACATACGGTTTCTATGTCCACAATGGAAATATGCTCCCTTGGTTGTAGAGTGTACATTCTACACAGCTGTACATGACAGACCTGAGCCCTAACTCTGTACCCACTCCCCCAAACCTCTTTTGTCACAGCTCCCAGACCCTGTCCACTTCCCAGGGAAGTGAGGAGAGCGGGGGGCCTGGGCAACAACCGAACCTACTGCTGACACCTCTTTTGGGCTTCCAGGGCTGGACAGACAGCCGGCTGCAGTGGAATGCTGAAGAATTTGGAAATATCAGCATCCTGCGCCTGCCCTCTGACATGCTGTGGCTCCCAGAGATTGTGCTGGAGAACAAGTTGAGCCGTAGCCTTTCCTGGCATCCCCTCCCCGCTCTGCCCCACCCCTCAACCCTGCCAGTTCCAAGCTGGCTGGCATTCACGTTGGCCCCTTGTCCTTGTCCCTCAGCAATGACGGCTCCTTCCAGATTTCCTACTCCTGCAACGTGCTCATCTACCCCTCGGGCTATGTGTACTGGCTGCCGCCTGCCATCTTCCGCTCTTCCTGCCCTATCTCCGTCACCTACTTCCCCTTCGACTGGCAGAACTGCTCCCTCAAGTTCAGGTGCACCCACTTCTCCAGCCACTCCTCACCCCTGCCAAGGACTGAGGGAGGTGCATGAAGCACTCTCAGGCAGAGGCCCCTGCTCTGTCCTGATCAGAGCTCCCCACACCCACAACAGCCCCTCTGACCACAAACCTTCTCCACTACCCTTCCCCCATCCCCCGCCATCAGTGGCCGCAGCCAATGGCTGAGGACCACCCTCTACCCACTGCCCTCCCCAGTTCCCTCAAGTACACAGCCAAGGAGATCACCCTGAGTCTGAAGCAGGAGGAAGAAGAGGGCCGCTTCTATCCCGTGGAATGGATCATCATCGACCCTGAGGGCTTCACAGGTGCTGGGAATAGCGGCTGTGGGTGGGCAGCCCCCAGACACACACCCATGGACACGGTCACACCGACACCCCTCCCAGAGACGCACGTGTGCACACACACACTTGGAACGTGGACCTACAGGCACACAGACTGACACAGAGACACCGACGGACAGACACACGCTGACCCACAGAGAAACACACACAGACATATTACCGGCACAGTTCTAGCACATTGAAAGGAAAAGAAGTCCAGCCGGAGGGGATTGTGTCCCAAAGGCAGAGACAGACAGGCCCAGTGTCCCACTCCTTCCGCTGCTGAGGCCAGAAGACCCTCCTGGGTCTGGACAGGGTCCCTGGGGATGGATGTGGCTGACAGATGAGAGGGGTAGTTAGTCTTTTGTTCCCAGTAGGCGCAGGGGTGTGGTTGCGGCTTTAGCGGGCATCCTAATGTTGTGTGTGTTGCCCCCTACCAACACCCCCTGCCCCTATCTATGACCGGGCTCAGATCTGCTATGGGGCCCCCACCACATGCCCCTGTCCATCAGAGAAGACCTACATCACACTGGTCCCAAGGCTGCTACATTGCTGGGGCGTGGAGGGGGAGGGATTGATCTTTTTTTTTTATTTAAGATTTTATTTATTTGACAGAAAGAGAGTGAGAGCAGGAACACAAGCAGGGGGAGTGGGAGAGGGAGAAGCAGGCTTCCCACTGAGCAGGGAGCCCGATGCGGGGCTCGATCCCAGGACCCTGGGATCATGACCTGAGCCGAAGGCAGATGCTTATCGACTGAGCCACCCAGGCACCCCAAGGGGGGGTTGATCTTATCCCCCCACTGTCACTATCTCTAAGACTTCTTATTTGAACCACTTCAATATTTTCCAAGAACAAAAACAAACAAACAAACAAACAAAAAACACTCCCAGAGGAGAATATCCCCCTTGCAGATTGAAGCCTCCATCCCAACCCCCCAGGGAAAGATACCCACAAACAGAACCCTAACCCTCCTCTGCATGCCCCCTCAGGCTGGCTCACTCCCCCCAGCCCCCAGTTCTGCCCCCCAACCCCTTTGTCTGACCTGACACCAGGGTGCCCTTCTGCCACCCTCAGAGAACGGGGAATGGGAGATAGTGCACCGGCCAGCCAGGATCAACGTGGACCCCAGCGTCCCACTGGACACTCCTGGCCACCAGGACGTCACCTTCTACCTCATCATCCGCCGCAAGCCGCTCTTCTACGTCATCAACATCCTGGTGCCCTGCGTGCTCATCTCCTTCATGATCAACCTGGTCTTCTACCTGCCGGCTGACTGTGAGCCTCAGAGCCTGGCCCAGCTCCCCGGCCACCTGGGGCAGTCTCTCCCTGTCCCTGAGGGCGTCTGAGCATCGGCCTCCCCAGCCCTCCCCTCACTTCCTCCTGGGAGACACAAGGGGGTCACCACTCCCGGGGCTCCCTGCCCAGGGTCCAGGCATGACGGGCATGTAGCCAGCCAAGGGGAAGGTTTCGTGACCCTGTCCGACATCTCCAAATGGACAGGGCCCCTGGGGGGGGGGGGGTCCATCCCTCTTGGACCCTGCTTCTGCTTCCCACAGTGGGGCTTCCCAAGGAAGTTCCCTAGAGAGGGAGAACCATGAGACTGTCCCTCTGTCAGAGCAGAGATCAGGTCTGTCCTGGTCACCATGTGTGACCATGGGCCTCACACACAGGCCATCCACTGTGAACCAGTGGGTGGATAACGGGATCTCTAGGAAGCCAGGCGTGGAGGCGTGCAGTTGATGCTGGTTCTAGAAGCGCACGTGTAATCTGTGCTCACTTGGTTTCACAATAGTTTCAGAGTATTTACTAGAAGCAAGGCACAGTGAGTCCCAGGGACAAATGCGATCCAGCCTCTGCTGCTGGCCGAGACTGTGGAATCCGCAGGGCTGGGAGCATGGCCCGAGGGGTAGGAAAACGGGGGAAGCTTTCCTGGAAGAGGCCGTGCTTGAGCCAGAGATGGGTCAGGAGGCAGCTTCCAGGTAGAGAAGGGGCCCCGGGGCGGGGGTGGGGGGCTGTGGGCCTGTGACCCCAGCGGCCACCGCAGCATGCTCAGGGGCTCGGGTGGGAGGAGCTGGGCGGTGCCAGGCTGGGGTCTCTGAGTGGAGGACTAGGAGTTGGGGAAATATGGGTGCTCTGAGGATGCCCTGGAGACGCACGCAGACCTGTGATTTTTGGAGGTTTGAGTGACAGCGAGTTGGCTAACGGTGATAGCTGGTGATCACTGAGCACTTGCCCGGTGCCAGGCAGCGTGATGAGCGTTTAACGTTAACTCACTCTCTCGCTTGGACCTCACAACCTTTCGCAGTTGTGAAAACCGAGGCACAGAGAGGTTAGGCTACTTGCCTAAGGTCACCCAGCCAGTAAGTGGCAGAGCCGGGATTTGAACCCACGTGCTCTAGCTCCGTGGCCCACGATGTTAATCAGGATACCACCGTGGCTTTGTGAACAGTGGTGCAGGGGCCGCAGTGGGAGGACCGCCTGGGCCCAAGGCCAGAGGTAGCAGCTAAGTCCGGGGTTCCCCCAGGTGGCGAGAAGACGTCAATGGCCATCTCAGTGCTCCTGGCTCAGTCCGTCTTCCTGCTGCTCATCTCCAAGCGGCTGCCCGCCACGTCCATGGCCATCCCCCTCATCGGCAAGTGAGTGACGCTTACGCCACGCCCCGCCTCTCCCGCCCCGCCCCGCCCCGCCCCGCCCCAGCCTGCCCTGCCCCGAGGGCTCCAGGCTGAGCGTGTGCCTACAGGTTCCTGCTCTTCGGCATGGTGCTGGTGACCATGGTCGTGGTGATCTGTGTCATCGTACTCAACATCCACTTTCGCACACCCAGCACCCACGTGCTGTCCGAGGGGGTCAAGAAGGTGAGGGCTCTTGGCCAACAGCTGGAGACGGTCGGGCTGTCCCTCTACAGGAGGGCAGGGAAGGACCCCACGGCATGCTTGTGAGGGGAACTGCCACCGTGCGTGGCCGAAGCGCCACGTGCTGTTACCCACGCCGCGCGAACGACTCTCCCTGTGCGCTGTTACGCGAAAGGAGCCAGACACAAAAGACCACAAGCTGCACAGTCTCCTCTTCATGAAGTTCAAGGACAGGGAAAACCAGCCTTTAGCGATGGAAATCAGGATGGTGGTTCCCCCTGGGGGTGGGTAGGAAGTGATGGGAGGAGGCACAAGGGACCCTTTGGGACTGTGTTGGAGATCTCCTCTGGGGGGGTGTTTACAAGTTGAATGCACCTGTAGAAACTCGTCTAGCTCTACACTCCAGGGCTGCTCGTTCTACTGTATGTTTGCTCTACCCCCATTAAAAGGAAGGCGAGGAATGTGGGGACTGCATGCCCAGGAGGGGGTGTCCTTGCTGTTCTGGGACGACTGAGGGTGTTTTAGCAACCTGTTTGGTCTTTAGCATTTGAAGAAGAGCGCTCAGCATTTGGGGCCTTGTTCTTACTTTTTTGTTTTTCATATATAATTCATTTTGAACAAATGAGTTCTGCTTTGTGCGGTGAGTGATGAGGGAGAGTTGGAAGCAAGCCAAGCATCCATCAGTAGGGGACTGGGGGAATCGGTGACAGCATGAGACTCCGGAGTACTTTGTGGCAGCCAGGAATGGAGTCACAGACGTTCCGATGTGTGAAGGTGACCCATGTCTCTAAAATAGCCTTCCTGTGTCCCCCTGACCTGCTGCAGCTCTTCCTGGAGACCCTGCCCGAACTCCTACACATGTCCCGCCCAGCCGAGGATGGGCCCAGCCCAGGGGCTCTCGTCCGGAGGAGCAGCTCCCTGGGCTACATTTCTAAGGCCGAGGAGTACTTCTTGCTCAAGTCCCGAAGTGACCTCATGTTTGAGAAGCAGTCTGAGCGGCATGGGCTGGCCCGGCGCCTCACCACTTCACGTGGGTCCCCGGGGGGGCTTGGGAGTGCGGCCCATCCGTGGGAGGCGGGCTGTGGGGCAGGCCTCATGCCCACCTCAGGCCCGGTCTCCACAGGCCCGCCCCCAGCAGGCTCTGAGCAAGCCCAGCAGGAGCTCTTCAGTGAGCTGAAGCCAGCCGTGGATGGGGCCAACTTCATCGTCGGCCACATGAGGGACCAGAACAATTACAACGAGGTGAGTAGCCACAGCGTAGCCTACGCTTAGGGTGCATCCTGTCTTCAGGGACTCCGTTTCCCTCAGAGACACGCACCCACTGAGATGAAGGTGTTCACGGTGGGTGCAGACCCCCAGGCCTTCTGGGAGGCAGAGCCCCTACCTAGAATGCCCTGGCAGCTCACCGCCCACAGCATACACTCGGGCGTAGCCCCCTAGGGTCCCTTCTTTGTCGCCACGCCCAATCATCTTCTGTCCCTGCTCCACTCCAAGTCTGATACTCCAGACATAAGCACACATTTAAAAGGCAGCCTTAGGTGGTTGTTCAATATTATACGACTTTTACTTTAAAAACTTCTCTCTTGAGAAAGGGGTCCCATTTTCCGTTCACATATGGGCCAGCACAGCGTTGAGAGGCTGGGAGGGGTGAAGAGGAAGGAGAGGGGACGATGTAACCTTCCTCAGCCCCCTGAGGGCGACTCCTGGCACCTCAGCGCTTCTTCGCACCCTGGAGCCCTGCAGGAGGGTGAGGAACGAGGCTGTGACTCCACTCTTGGTCTCCTGGACAGAGACCCCGGCTTCAGGGGGGACACACCAGCATGTCCCATCTGCTGCAAGCCTGGGGTAACCCACACAGATACACCAAAGCCATGTCTCTGTCATTGGGCCCCCAGCTTGGGGTGTGGGCCCGCAGTTTGTGAGCCTTCCTCACCCCACTCTCTCTGCCCCCCTGCTCCCAGGAGAAGGACTGCTGGAACCGAGTGGCCCGCACAGTGGACCGACTCTGCCTGTTTGTGGTGACACCCATCATGGTTGTGGGCACGGCCTGGATCTTCCTTCAGGGCGCCTACAACCAGCCTCCACCTCAGCCCTTCCCCGGGGACCCCTTCTCCTACCACGAGCAGGACAAGCGCTTCATCTAGAACAGGTCTGCCCTGTCCTGCTGGCCCAGCTCCCAGGCAGCATCGGGTGGAGCCTTTGACCTTACAGGGATGAGCCAGGTGGGGGGTGGGGGGGCAGGGTGGACAGGGATGTCTGAGAGAGGACAAGGCCCTCCTGGGGAGACCAACTTCTGGCCCTGAGGCTTGAGTCCAGCTGGTCCTGCAAGGCTGGGGCAGGATTCCTGCGATTAAGGAAGGGGGAAGCCCCGCTCCTCACCCGCAGGTCCTCTGCAGCTAAAGACAGGAGCCACCAAGGAGGTCTGAGAGTGGACATCGGCTGGGGTTGCAGAGCAGGACAATTTGGGGAGGAAAGGGGGCTGGCTCAGAGGCCAGGAAGGATGCCACTCAGGCTGGGACCCCTTTGTGAGGAGTCAGAAAGGCAGAGGCCTCTTCTAGCCTCCTCTCCCCTAGGTGGGGGTAGAGCGGGTGGGATCCTGTGCCCCCACTTTCCTGTTCCTCCAGCCACCCTCCTCTCAACAACCCCTCAGCCTTGGGCTTCTGAGGCCCCACCTGGGGTTGAAGTGGGGAAACCTCCCTCTTAAGGAAAGAGGCTTTCAGCAGGGGTGGGAGCACCAGGGTTGCAAAATGGCCTTCCCCAGCACTTTCTGCCTTGGTGACTCTGTCTGGGTCCCTCGGGGAAGCCATGACCTTCCTGGGGTGGAAGGGCCAGGCTCAACACCCACAAAGGCCAAAGGTGAGCTTCTCAATCTCAGGTCACGTGAGCAATCCTAGAGCCCCAGAACTCAGCCCTCCCCCAAGGAGTGTCCCCTCTTGGGCAACTATTCTCCTCCCCAAAGTAGGGTTCCCATACAATATTTGGGACATACTTTTACTAACAAATTATTCATTGTTTATCTGAAATTCAAACTTAACTGGGCATCCTGTTTTGTTTTGTTTTGGGGGGGCGGGGCAGAGAAAAATCTTAAGCAATCTCCACACCCAGCACAGAGCCCAATGGGGGCTCAATCTCACAACCCTGAGATCATGACCTGAGCTGAAATGAAGATGCTCAACCGACTGAGCCACCCAGGTACCCCAGCATCCTGTATTTTTATTTGCTAAATTTGACAACTGTACCCCAAAGGGAGCCCCCAACAATTCTATCTGAAGGGCCAAAGGCAGAGGCCACAGATGTTGGGAGACATGGTAGCCTACCTCCAAGCTGGCCCCAGCAATCCCCACCTCCTGGTATTCACACCCTGTGTAGCCCACTCCCACACCGCACCAGGTTTGGTCTGTGGGTGACCGACAATTTTAGAATGAGGCAAAAGTGACAGTGTGTCGCTTTTGAGATTAGGCTCTATAAGACATTGCAGCACCTCCCTGGATCCCACTCCATCGCTCTTGCTTTCAGCTGGATCTCTCACTTTGGGGAAGCCAGCTGTCATGGGGAGCAGTCCTGTGGAGAGGCCCACCTGGCAAGGACCGGAAGCCCTCTGCCTGCAGCCCCATGAGTGAGCTTGGAAGCAGATCCTGTCCGGTGGGGCCTTCAGATGAGATCATGACCCTGGTCAACATCTTGGGTGCAGCCCCATGAGTTCTTGAGCCAGAGCCACCCAGCTAAGCTGCCCCTGGATTCCTGACCCTCAGAAACTGCATGGGATAGCATATGTTTGTTGCTTTAAGAGACAAAGTTGTGGAGTGCTTTGTTACACCAGAGGGTGATCTGGGGTGAACCATTGTCATCTCTTAGGTTCTGTTTTCTCATCAACCAAATGTGTAAGTCCCGTTTGTGAGGTGTTGTGAAAATCGAATGTGCTAGTTGGCATGAAGGTCTTTACACATATCCTGCAATTTTTAAAATTTATTTAAATTCAATTAATTAACATATAATGTATTATTTGTTTCAGGGGTACAGGTCTGTGATTCTTAAGTCTTATATAATACCCAGTGCTCATTACAACACATGCCCTCCCCAGTGTCCATCACCCAGTTACCCCATCCCTCCACCCCCCTTCCCTCCAGCAACCCTCAGTTTGTTTCCTATGATTAAGAGTCTCTTATGGTTCATGTCCTGCAAACTTAAGGGTGGTTATTTAACTCATTCCTCAGTTGTGGGCCTGTGGTCTCCTGCATCTGAGGCTGGCAGGGGGTCTGAGGGCACATGGGAGCAAACACAGAGGACCCAATTATTCTCCCCCTTGATGTACACACTTAAGGTTTTCACAGCTCAACCCATTTCCCTCAGAGGGAATTGGTGACCTCATTAGCTCAGGTACACAAAAGGTGAGATTTTTAGTCTTTCAATGGAAATGAACAAAAGACAAACCTCTTTTTTTTTACTTGACTATAAAAACTTTTATTCATTAGTACTAGAAGTTGGGCCCACCGCCACCGGGGAACCCAGTGCCCAGAAAAAGACAAACCTCTTAAGGGCAAAACTGATCCCCTAGTTACTTCTGACTTCCAATATGAACTGTGCACAGATTCGAGGTACAGATCTTTAAATTTTTTTCCTTCTGAATAGGGAAAGGAGCTTGGACTTACACCCATGGGATGAGCAGGAAGTCCAGGACCTCCCTGCAATTATCCTCTATGAGAGGGACCCCATCTCCAGCACCAAGAGAGGCCCTGAATCAGATCCCTCAGCCGCTGTCCTTGCTTCTCTCTGCCACATGATGGCACTGTTGGCAACCTCCAGCTGAATCCTCTGGTGTCAGGCCCTGCTCAGGTGGCAGTGAACTTTCCCCAAGAAGACAACCCCAAAATGCCACACCCGACCAAGAGTACCCCGTGCACAGTTTCCCAGGGTCCCAGCAGGACCCCCAACAGCACACATTCCTCCAGCACTGCAGCCCCAGGGTGCTGTCAGCGCTGGTCCCCACTCTGGGTGACGTGGAACTCTCCCCGGGAAGTCACACCCACAAGGGGCCAGCTTCCTGTGAAGCTACAGGGTGTCCCTACGCACTCTCCCCAGGCCATCAGGGCTACTCACTCTCCTCCAAAAAGTGATGAATCGGGGCGCCTGGGTGGCTCAGTCGTTAAGCGTCTGCCTTCAGCTCAGGTCATGATCCCAGGGTCCTGGGATCGAGCCCCGCATTGGGCTCCCTGCTCAGCGGGAAGCCTGCTTCTCCCTCTCCCATTTCCCCTGCTTGTGTTCCTGCTCTCTCTATCTCTCTCTCTGTCAAATAAATAAATAAAATCTTTAAAAAAAAAAAAAGTGATGAATCTGTGAGGGATGCACTGGGCTGCAAGGAACAGAAACCCAAAGAACCGTGGTTCAAACTAGTAAGGTTGGGGGTATAGCTCAGGGGTAGGGCATTTGACTGCAAACCAGTAAGGCTTCCTCTTTGTTGCATAAGACCGAGAGGCAGCAGTTGCCACATTGGCTCAGCTGTCCCACAAAGCTATTAGAGACCTGGGCTCTGGGCTCTCTGCCCAGCCCTCCCTCCTTAGCATGTTGGCTCTGTCCTCATGCTTGTTGCCCCAGGGCGCAAGCTGACTGCCACAGATCCACAATTCACATCTGCGTTTAAGGCAGGAAAGGAGCCAGTCATTCTGAGCCCTCTCATCAGGAAGCAAAGGCTCTCTCTCGAAGCCCTTCAGCTGACTTCTGTAGACATCCCACAGGTCAAGATGTTTATCACATGGGCAGCCTTATCTGCAAGGAAGCCTGGGACATGAATGTTCCGCTTTTCCAGCCTCCACAAGAGTAGCCGTTAAACACAAATGAAGTCTGCAGAAGATTTTCTCTTTTTTTTTTTTTTAAAGATTTTATTTATTTATTTGAGAGAGAGAGAATGAGAGAGAGCGAGTACATGAGAGGGGGGAGGGTCAGAGGGAGAAGCAGACCCCCTGCTGAACAGGGAGCCCGATGCGGGACTCGATCCCGGGACTCCAGGATCATGACCTGAGCTGAAGGCAGTCGCTTAACCAACTGAGCCACTCAGGCGCCCCAGAAGATTTTCTCTTAATGGCTCCACACCGCCCCCTTTAGCCCCTCCAGGGCAGCGCCACCCCTCCTCCGGTAACCCATCCTCCTGAGAACACCCAGGAGACGTCGCCTCTCTCCCACAGCAGGAGCGAAGGGGGAAAAACAGGAGTTGAAATCTCTTCATACATGGGGAGGTGCCGTAATTTCATACCAGAGGGAAGTCACACTCCACAACCTTCCTTTTCCCACCCAGACACTTGTAGAGAAGTGGAAAGGGAAAGTCAGAAATGCGGGAGCATCGGCCAGACCACCATTGCCTGGGGCGGTGGAGTTGGGGGTGAATAGGTGGTCCATTATTTAGCAGGAGCCATTAATGGGCTTGCCAAAGTGTGGTCTTGGAGGGGACTAGAGAGGGGGAGAGGTACTGCTCTGGGGAGCACCAAAAGGGCAAACTGGGGAGCTGGCTTTGTAAACTTTGGGAAAGGGGGCTACACACCTAGATGCTCGGTGGGGAGAGCTATGCTTGGGAGTGGGGCCTGGAGCAGGATTGAACGCAAGGACAGAAGTAGATGACCGGGGAAGGCAGGTAGCACCACTGCTGTCCCCCTGACCCCAAAGTCCTGGTGAGGACAGACAGGAGGGACTTGGGGCTGTGGAGGGCTGGGGTCTGAGCCAACCTCACACAGATCTCCAATGACAGGGAGCAGGCTGACTTCCAGCTTACTGAAACACACTGAAATGCTGCAGACATCATTTGTTTGGGGGGAGCGGGACACGTCCTCAAATGGCGCTTTTCCTCCAGCCCTCAGATGGATGCCTCCACTACCCTGTCCCCCAGGATGCCCAAGGGTGGGTAAGCACTTACGGGAACCTGCATTTTCTTTGTCTTGCGAACTTACTGGGACATCCTGACCTGTCTGCTTGGAATAAATGGTCAAAAGACAGGTAGCCTGAGCCCATGGCCCCAGCTGGCAACAGGCTCTCAGCCCCACCCTTCCCCTGACCTCAAACTACAGAGTGGATGGAGTGTGTTTTCTGGCCCTTCTGGGCCCCCTCATCTGACTTTCTAGGGGCCACAACCTTGACCTTATCTGCCTGTCCTACTGAACAGTGACTTACTGTGAGCCACTCAGGCTTACCCCTGTTTCCCTGGCAATCCCCCACTGCCTGCCTGGCCTGGGGCCTGCCACATGCTGGGGACTCCCTAAGTTTGTGGATAATTTTTCTTTTAAGATTTCATTTACTGGGACGCCTGGGTGGTTCAGTCGGTTAAGCGTCTGCCTTGGGCTCAAGTCATGATCCCAGGGTCCTGGGATCAAGTCCCACATCGGGTTCCCTGCTCAGTGGGGAGCCTGTTTCTCCCTCTGCCTGCTACTCCCCCTGCTTGTGCTCTTGTGCTCTCTCTCTGACAAATAAATAAAATCTTAAAAAAAATAAGATTGTATTTACTTATTTTTGCAAAAGAGAGAGAGAGAGTACGTGCCAGTTGTGGGGGGGAGGGGCAGAGGGAGAAGCAGACTCTCCGCAGAGCGAGGAGCCAGATGCGGGATTCGATCCCCGGACCCTGAGATCATGACCTGAGCCAAAGGCAGACACTTAACCGATTGAGCCACCCAGGCACTCAAGTTTGTAGATAATTTAAGAAATAAAGAGGCCACACTGAGGAGCCCCTATTCAGAGGTCGTTCTGTTCCCAAGAGCCCCAAATTCCAGATCTTCTTCTTTTTTTTTTTTTCTTTTTCTTCAGCCCTCCTTCCTTCAAAGCTTACCAGGCCCATGCCCCATGCCTCAGAGCCTAGGAGGACCCTGAACTGGCACCCTAATTTGCATTAAGGTATCAAAGCCTGTGGAACATAGTGCATCTCTCATAGGCTTTGCCTCCAGTGTCTTGGCCCAGTGGAGTAACCCATGAAGATGTTAAGCTGGTGGGACAGGTTTGTGGTCCTCAACCATGTCACAGAGAAACTCAGGTATAGAACATGCCTCCATACCTCCCCAAATCCTGACCCCCTGGAGGAAGTAGAAGGAGAGAGCCCAATTCAGGGCCTTCCTCACACTCTGCCTCCCTCCCACATCTTCTGTCCCTGGCTGTGCCTTCAGCTCCCCCGACGGAAGGAACAGGGGCTGGGACAGCGGTATCAGAGAATGGGGATGGAAGTCGGGCTGTCTCTGTTGGGGCAGATGGGGCCCCTCTGTCCCCTCCCCAGCCCAGGTAACCTGAGCCTGGCATTTTGTCCATCTTGGAACAGCTGACAGTGCTGTGCTCAGACAGCTGGTGGGGCTGGGCTGGCCTGGCAGGGCTGGGAGCATGGGCTGTTACATGAGACCCAGAGTCTATATCTCTCTACCCTGAGCTGGGAGCTGTTGTCCCACCCGCCACTGTAGAGAGCTGCGGCACCATGCTCAAGGGCCCGGGGCTGCCACTCCTCCTGCTGGCTGTCTGCTTGGGTGTGGACACAGGGGATCTGGGGCCTGGGGAGGCCTGGAGCAGAGATCCAAGGCCTCAGGGGACAGAGGGTCCGGAGGGTTATTGAAGCCTGTCCCCACGCCCAGCACCCTACTTCTCCACATCACACCTTCTTGTGGCCTCCCCTCTTTCTGCCCCAAAGGCCCTGTACCCAGGCTCAGTGCTGTCTGTTGCAGGAGCCGAGGGCCGGAACCAGGAGGAGCGTCTGCTCGGGGACCTGATGCACAACTACAACCCCCACCTGAGGCCCGCTGAGCGTGATTCGGACGTGGTCAACGTCAGCCTGAAGCTCACCCTCACCAACCTCATCTCCCTGGTGAGCCACCTATAGGACAGTGGGGGAGACAGAGGCCCAGTGTACCCGGCCCCCGGGACCTGCTGGGGAGAGGCAGGGGTTGGCTCTAGCAGCCAGGCGGGGGAAGGACTCCACAGGTGGGAGGCTGGGGAGCTGGAAATCTCCCACGAGGGCTGCCCAAGAGGCTGCCGTCCTATAGCACCCAACGGGGGCCTATAGGGACTAACATCTGGAGAGGGCAAGTGATGGGGGTTCAGCCTTCTGTTCTGCACCCTTAGAATGAGCGAGAGGAGGCCCTCACCACCAATGTCTGGATAGAGATGGTAAGAGGCCACCCTGCAGTCCTTTTCTATCGGGGCCCCCACCCTCGGGTCCCAAGGCCCTTAGAGCTGCCTGCTTTCCCCCGCCCCCTCCCTGCCTCCTCTGACCCACCTGGGCTAGGCTCCTATTCCTGGGGATGGGGAGGGGGTGACTCGGCCTGGCAACCCCACTCCCCCTGCAGCAGTGGTGTGATTATCGCCTGCGCTGGGACCCACAAGACTACGAAGGCCTGTGGGTGCTGAGGGTGCCATCCACCATGGTGTGGCGGCCGGATGTCGTGCTGGAGAACAAGTGAGGCGGGGTGCAGGCGGCGGGGGGGGGGGGGTACAAAAGGACACAAGGGTAGGGCCCGGTACGATGAGGGGGCTCTGGGGAAAGGGACAGGCGAACGGAATGCAGACCAGGGAATACTGGCTGGAGCAGGTGCTGCTGAGGGGAGGGCCGGGCCGGCAGGCCTGATTCTCGGCCCGCTCCATCTCCTCTGGGCTGGGTTGTCTGGTGGGCTACTGCCCTCCCTCGAAGCTCTCAGGAGTCAATAGGCATGAAACGCTGCCCTGGGGGCGCCTCCAGCGCTTTGAAAGAGCTGAAGGGTTGTTAGTACCACGGTGACCAGGCCCTGGGGAGGAGGGGACGGGGCGGAGGAAGCCCTCCGGCAGGGAGGTAGTGGACCCCGCGAAGGGCTGCTGTCCCCAGGCCCCAACCACGCAGGGCGAGGGCTGGCCTGGGGTGCGGGACTCGGGCGAGCCGGGGCTGCCGGGGACGGGAACCCCCAGCCTCAGGGCCTGGCCTGTGTGCAGCGTGGACGGCGTGTTCGAGGTGGCCCTCTACTGCAACGTGCTGGTGTCTCCTGACGGATGCGTCTACTGGCTGCCGCCCGCCATCTTCCGCTCCTCCTGCCCGGTCTCTGTCACCTACTTCCCCTTTGACTGGCAGAACTGCTCCCTCGTCTTCCAGTGAGGCCATTTACTGGGGGGGCCCAGGGAGATTTAGATTTCTGCCCTAAGAGGAGCCTGGCTGGGTGGGGGACGCAAGGCTTCTCGCCAGGGGTCCGACCCCGGCTCTCAGGGACCCTCTGTGCCCGTCTCAGGCCCAGACACCCGGAGATGCCCACGTCCCTCCCTGCGAAGCCGCAGTCCCCCCGCTCATCCTCCTTCCCTGCCTCAGTTTCCCTGCCTGTGCCCCAAGGGAGGAATTAATGATCGGGGTGGGTGGGCAAGAAGGCATGCACGAGTGTCTCCCCACACCCCCTGGAGAGGTGGAGGCTGTCTCAGTCTCCTCATCTGGAAATGGGGGGAAAGGAGGTCTGTGTGAGGGTTTTCCCATAATTTAGAAGAGCGGTCTTTTTACAAGGAGACCCTCCTTAACAAACAGACCAGACAGGGACAGACGGCCGTTTCTGTGTTCTAACCATTGGTCCCTCCTGCTCTGGAGGCAGTGGAAGGGAGGAACGGAGTGGCCCTGGGCTCTTAACATCTGATGAGGGCACTGAGCTGCAGCTTCGTGGCCCTTCCCCAAAACTTCCCTGACCCCCATGGAGCCCAAGTCCCCTTCCCACCCCCCATCTCATGGCCAGGGTTCTGTGGAGAACTCGCAAATTCCTGGCTGCACTTTTTTGAGGCAATACTGCCCACAGTTGCCCTCAGAGGATCGTCTGTGTGACCTCAGACGTGGGTCTACAGACACTCAAATGTCTCCCCCTTCCCTCCCCATCTCCCAGGTCCCAGACCTACAGCACCAATGAGATCAATCTGCAGCTCAGCCAGGAAGATGGTCAGACCATCGAGTGGATTTTCATCGACCCCGAGGCCTTCACAGGTAACCTCCTCCCAGGACCCCTGCTGGACGTGGCCTCCGGGGCAGGGCCAGACCAAGCTCAGACCCCCTCCCATGTAACTCAAGATGAAAACCACAGTAAACCATAAAACATGTATCTTTAAAAGCCCGGCACGGTTCTCTTTTCCCCATGCTAATATCTCCAGTTTGGGGGGCTGGGGATCAGGTATCCAGGCTCCCTGGATGGTGCTCCTTTGGGCCCACGCCAGCCGCCCTGCAGTTAGGTGACCGGGGCTGCACTCCCTGCACCCACCCTGGCCTGCTGCCCACAGAGAATGGGGAGTGGGCCATCCGGCACCGGCCGGCCAAGATGCTGCTGGATGTGGCAGCACCCACCGAGGAGGCGGGCCACCAGAAGGTTGTCTTCTACCTGCTCATCCAGCGCAAGCCCCTCTTCTATGTCATCAACATCATTGCGCCCTGTGTCCTCATCTCCTCGGTCGCCATCCTCATCTACTTCCTTCCGGCCAAGGGTACCTGGAGCCTGTGGGAGGGGAGCTCCAGCCTCAGGTGGCAGCACAGGGACTAGCTGGGAGGGCACAGGGTTGAGGCGCCACACACAGGACCACCTGTCCCGGGGACCAGGGCCACTGGGCTCCTTGTGGGGTGAGGGAGGTGCCCCACGGTAGGAAAGTTGAGATCTGCTCTGAAGGCCTCTTGGTTATGGGCAGCGGGGGGCCAAAAGTGTACCGTCGCCATCAACGTGCTCCTGGCCCAGACTGTCTTCCTCTTCCTCGTGGCCAAGAAGGTGCCCGAGACGTCCCAGGCAGTGCCACTAATCAGCAAGTAAGGCTGGCCCTCATGCCTACCGCCCAGCTCCTCCCCTCCCTTCCCCGGAACTCGGGGCACTACCCTCCTGCCACTCCCACCCCCACCACCCTCAAGGGCAACTCCTCACCCTGAGGAGTCTGGGGGAATCGGCTGCTAAGGGTGGGGGTGCATCTGGAGATGAAGTGCCAAAGGGCCAGCCCCGCCTCCTGCCCACCCAACCCCAACAGGTACCTCACCTTTCTCCTGGTGGTGACCATCCTCATTGTCGTGAATGCCGTGGTCGTGCTCAACGTGTCTTTGCGGTCCCCCCACACACACTCCATGGCTCGCGGGGTCCGAAAGGCAAGGCCCCTCCCTGTCCACTCCAGCATCCTCCTGTCCAGTCCTCTCCACCCCCTTCCCCTTCCCTACTCACCTGCCACATTCAGCGGCAAACCTACCCTGTGTGTATCCTGAAGCATGTGCCCAATGAATTAATATAATGCTGAGTGCTTACTATGTGGCAGGTGTATTATGCATCTGAATGCATTTGATCGTCGTAGAACTCCTAGGAGGTGGGTATTAGTCCCATCTCCATTTTGCAAGTGAGGACGCTGAGGCACAGAGAGATTCATTAGCTTACCCAAGGTAGCCTGGTGAGGAAGCAGAAGCAAGATTCTGCCCAGGCAGTCTGGCTGGGGAGTCTGTGTGACCTGCAGCCCACCTGCAGCAGGCAGCTAGGACCCTTGTTGCAAATGCAGATCCTCAGGCCCACCTCAGGCATCCTGGGCCAGAACAAGGGGGGTGGGGCCCAGGAACCTGGGTAGCAAGTGTCCTGGTGATGCTGACATGCACACAAGTTGGAGGACCTAGGCTCAGTGTCTGGTACAGAACAGCCGAGCTATTCCGGGGTCAAGCCACTGACCCTCGTGTGCTGCCTCTGGGCTCCCAGGGGCTTAGGCCCTTCGTGCCAACCTTCACCTTTTGCTCTGAAGCCCAGCCTGGCCGCCCACATGCCCAGGTCTGCTGGCCACTAAGCGAAGCCCACCAGAAAATCCTCTCTCCAGGTGTTCCTACGGCTCGTGCCCCAGCTGTTGCGGATGCACATTCGCCCACTGGCCCCAGTAGCTGTGCAAGACACCCAGCACCCGCTGCAGAATGGCTCCCCCACAGGATGGTCGCTCACAGCTGGGGAGGAGGTTGTTCTCGGCCTGCCTCGCAGTGAACTTCTCTTCCAGCAGTGGCAGCACAATGGGCTGGTGAGGGCAGCGCTGGAGAAGCTAGGTGAGGCCGGGGGGCGGGGGTGGGGGACGACACGGGGGATACTCCTCCCCAGGGACTCCAGACTGGGAGGGCTACCTGTCAGCCAGAGCACCAGGCACAGCAGATGAGTGTTGGTAAGTGTCTGGGGTGGGGAGAGAGAAGCTAGGGCGGCTCAGGAGAGATGACCTTCTCAGACTATTTCTTCTCCACTCTATTCCCAAACCTTACCCTGTCTCCCCAGAGAAAGGCCCGGAGCCAGGGCAGAGCCAGGAGGTGTGCGGCAGCCTGAAGCAGGCCGCCCCGGCCATCCAGGCCTGTGTGGAAGCCTGCAACCTGATTGCCCTCGCCCGGCACCAGCAGAATCACTTTGAGAGCGTAAGGGCGACTGAGTGCCCAGGGAGGGACTTGGACCCGAGACGGGGGCATGATGGGCAGGGTGGCCACGGTAGGGCGATGGGATGGGAAAAAGTGGAACTGGGACATCGGGGCCAGGGGACTACGGCAGAAGCCAGGCTAAGGCCTGGAAGTAGGTGTGAAGGGCCCAAGGCCGTGGAGGATAGAGGCCTGCTGGATGGCCCCGGATAGCACAGTGATCCAGGGCAGGCTTGGTGTCACTGCTGGCCATCCCACACCCTGCCTCCCACCCCCAGGGGAGTGAGGAGTGGTTCTTGGTGGGCCGCGTGCTGGACCGTGTCTGCTTCTTGGCCATGCTCTCGCTTTTTGTCTGCGGCACTGCTGGCATCTTCCTCATGGCCCACTACAACCAGGTGCCTGCCCTGCCATTCCCCGGAGACCCCCGCTCCTACCTGCCCCCACCTGATTGAGCCAACCACCCACCAACTGCTGCTAGACACGTGGAGTCTTATCTGCTGTGTTCTTCAGTGGCTGAGGTCATGATGTGCTCTTTGGGAAGTGCCCCTCAGGGCCATATGAGCCAATGGCCCGGAGAAAAGCATGGGAAATAAAGAGACGGAGCTGGAGTCCCGGAGTGGTTGAGAATGGCTGTGGGCAGGGTGTGCTGTTGGGGTCAGCATCCACGTGGCACTGGCTAGCTAGTCCCAGCAATCCCCTCACTTCAGCAAAGCATTAGCAACTCCCATCATTTCTTTTTTTTTTAAGATTTTATTTATTCATTTGAGAGACATAGAGAGATAGAGCGTGAGCGGAGGGGAAAGGAAGAGGGAGAAGCAGAGCAGGGAGCCCGACTTGGGGCTCAATCCCAGGACCCAGCAGAGATCATGACCTGAGCCAAAGGCAGATAGATGCTTAACTGAGCCACCCAGGCACCCCTCACTCCCCTCATTTCTGAAGCCCTAAGGACTCTGTCTTGTATAATGTCCCCAACTAGGCAAGGTCCCATCCCTCCAGGCCTGGGCCTCCTTTCTTTTTTACAAGATCCCCACAGACTCCTAAAGGAGGGAGGTCAAGAGAGATGTGGAGAGTAGCAGGCAATGTTCTCTCGAAAGAATGGCAGCAGCCCACCCCAACTGGTATCTCCTTCCCCCGCCTTCTGGGTGCTATAGGCACCCAACACTCACGGGCACCAGTGACCTTTGCATTCATATGCATTTTTTTGTCATTGATCATAAAAGATCCATGAGTTAAGAGCTCCTCACGTCATCATGGACAAGCAAGAGTCACTATTCCCCCACGTTTCAGATGGGCAAATTGGGGCCCAGATTAAGAAGGGCTTCCCAGAACACTGGTGGCTAAATAAAGTTTGGAGTCCAGAATTCCCAACCCAATTTTAGACACTCTAAGAAAGGTTCTATGGCCTGGAAAACAGACCCCTCTTCCTTCTCTTCTCAAAGGCCAGAGCATTTGCGCTGGTCCCAAAGGATGCTTAAGACAAGGAAGAGCTAAGCAGAGGCTGGGAGGTAACTGGAAACCGCTGGGCTTTGCCTTCTGAGAGGACACCCTGACCAGCCTCCTTTGGCCCCACTTAGGAAACAAGATGGCCAGCTGAGGTCTTCCTGGGAGAGAGGCAAGGCCCTGCTTTGAGAGTACAGCTGGGGCCTGAGTTCTGTTGGTGACAAGACAACTTGAGCAAGTCATTTGTGCAACAAGCCCCCCCCACCCCCACCCCGGCTTCCAGCCTCTGTTTCTTCATCTGTAAATAGGGGTACAGATTTCAGTTCCTATCTACCCTCATCAAAGGATCAAAGGTGCAGGTGAAAGTGATTCAAAAGTGTGAAAGTGCCACATAAGACCCGACAACAGGACATTGTTGGGGGGAGGGGAGAGGACCCCGGAAACAACCCCCTCCCCCAAGTACAGGGTTGCTGGCTTTGAGGCTCAATCACCAGCAGGTTCACTTCATTAACTCCAGTTTATGTGCGCGCTGCCCCGTGTATTTGGAGCAAGACACGTAGATCCGTGAGGCACTTTGATGATTGTGGGCCCATCTGAGGTTCCTGAAAGTGTCTCACTAGCTTTGTCACCCGCGGTGAGTCTCTCAACTTCTCTGCCTCAAAGGGCCGAGATGAGCTCTTTAGCTCCAGGCGCAAGTAAGCAAAAATTTACAATACTAATGTCGGGCGACTGTCTAGCGCCTGACACTGATGATCCCGTTCGATCCACACCGCAACCCGAAGAGGCAGGTACTGTCATACACAGTATGGCCAGTACCCAAGAGGAAACAGCCTCGGGGAGGTTAAAACAGAGTCCAGGATCCTGCAGCCCGCTCTGGGGCTGGAATCGGGACTGGTACCGAGCAGTGTCCAGGGCCCGCACGGCCAGCGACGCGGCTCGGCCTCTTTCTCCGAACCGCCGCGGCAGGGGGTCGGGGCGCCCCCTCCGACACGGGACAGGAACCCGGGCGGCGCCAAGACGGCGACCCGCACGTCCGCCGAGCCCCGCGCCTCCGCGCAGCCGCCGGGAGCGGGCGTCCGAGGATACCCGCCCGACACGGGGGTAGGGCGCAGAAGTTCCGCTGCGCCATGCGCAGCCGGAAGTAGCCGGGCCCTAAGCTGGGGGGAGACCCGGCGGAGCGGAAGTCACTCCGTGAGGCAGTGGCGACGGCGGCGGTGAGAGGATGAACAACAAGTTCGACGCGTGAGTGGCGCGTGGCCGCCCCACGGGGCCCCTTCCCCCGACCGTTCCCCGCGCCCGCCCCCAGCGGGGCTGGCGGCGGCGAAACTCCCCGGCGCCGTCCTCCCTCCCGGGCTTGGGCTGCGGGCCTCGCGGGCCCAGGCGGCCGGCGGGGAAGAAGAGGGGGCTGGGGAGGCGTGATGCAGGGGTCTCGGAGACGCCGGGACGTGCGAAGCGCGGGGTCCCGGGGAGGAGGCGGCCGTGACGCCCGGAAGGAGATTTTTGGACGCCCCGCCCCGGTGGGTGCGGGTGGCCAGCGGCGTGGAGGGGCGGAGACCGCGGCGGTTTGGGTGTTTCCGCAGCCTGGCTGCCCTGCCTCTGAATCCGGCTTTCCGCACTCTCTAGCCTGGGCAGGTCACCTCGCCTCTCTGAGTCAGTGTTCCCTTCTGCAGAGTGGGGATGGGAACAGCCCGGGTCGGAGAGTTGGGAAGATGCAGGGAGGTAATGTGGCTCTTGGGCCTAGGGGCTGCTCAGTTACGGAATGCTCCTCGTCTTCTCAGGCTTCTTCCTACTTCCTTTCTTCTCCCTCTTTTCCCTTCCAACACACTCACCGGGAGCTGCTCTGTTTTCTCGCCCAACGCGCACACTTGACGTTGCCCCCGTCTCCACTTCGTGTCTGCACTATCTGGTTCCTAGTTGCAGCGTTAGTTGGAAGTGCGGAAAAGAAATGCAGAGTATTTTTGCATGTTTCCCTCTAGCGATTGTATTTTGAGGTAGCTTATGTTCTTCTCTCTCTTGTAACAGTCTAGTAAATCTGTCTGATCTCCAGAGAGCTAGATTTCCAGGCCCAGACTCACCAGTTTGCCAGTAATTTGACAGTAGAAGGGTTGCCCAGCCATTGTTATCTAAACCACGTTAGTGGTTAGTGCCCTGCTGCTGCACGGGTGTGTTGTGATAAGGATCAAATCACACGCAACAGGTACTTTGTAAATTGCTCATAGTGAGGAATAAATGTAAAGTGGCATCTCTGTTTATTTAGGTTGTGACCCACTGCTGATGGAAATTGGGGTTTTTCCAATACAGTGAGTGCTGATTGGCAAATTGAGGAGTCCTGGATTCCAGCACTCTAGGCAGCTCCTCAGGAATGTTTCCTGGTTGCTCAGAAGTCTCCGGGACTTGGATAAAGTCTGGCTGAACGTTTCCCCAGCCTGCTGCTGAGCTGAGCCCATCTCAGTACAAACAGCCACACTCCCTCCCTCCCCGCCCCATTTGTACTCCTCATCTTAAGTCTCTGCAGCACCAAATTCCAGATCTAAGTCCTCCCTCAGTGGAGCTTTCTGCAAACCCTATACCCCTTCCTCCACTAAATTGAGCAGATCAAAACTTCATCTTAGGAAGACACTTTATGGTTTATCTAGCCCAGTCCTGCCAAAATCATTTGGGGATCTGCAGGAAGCTAATTTTTTTTTTTTTTTAAGATTTTATTTATTTTTTAGAGAGCGAGCAAGCGAGAAACAGCATGAGAGGGGAGAGGGTCAGAGGGAGAAGCAGGCTTCCCGCTGAGCAGGGAGCCTGATGTGGGACTCATTCCCAGGACCCCGGGATCATGACCTGAGCCGAAGGCAGACGCTTAACCATCTGAGCCACCCAGGTGCCCTGCAGGAAGCTAATTTAAGAATGGTAGTAATGGCTTCTGTAGGTATCTTGGCTTGATACTTTTCACATATTATTTCTACTCCTAACAACACTGCAAAGGGGATTATGTTACCTCCTTTCACAGATAGGAAAATGAGGCCCTCTGAGGTTAAGTAACTTGCTCACAAAAACAGGAAGGCCCATGTGGCGGAATTCAAATCCAGGTTTGTTTAACCTTGGTTCAAGTACCTCTTGACAAAAATTAACCTGGATCAATTTTTTTTTAAAGATTTTTTTTTTTTTGACAGAGACACAGCGAGAGAGGGAACATAAGCAGGGGGAGTGGGAGAGGGAGAAGCAGGCTTCCCGCGGAGCAGGGAGCCCAATGTGGGGCTTGATGTGGGGCTCGATCCCAGGACCCCGGGACCATGACCTGAGCCGAAGGCAGACGCTTAACGACTGAGCCACCCAGGCGCCCCTAACCTGGATCATTTTTAGTTAGTTCTAATTATTAAGTATTCGTTATAGTGAGTCAATTTTTAAAGATTTTTTTAAATTTATTTGACAGAGATACAGCGAGAGAGAGAACACGAGCAGGGGGAGTGGGAGAGGGAGAAGCAGGCTTCCTGATGAGCAGGGAGCTCGACATGGGGCTCGATCCCACATGACCTGAGCCGAAGGCAGACACTTAACAACTAAGCCACCCAGGCGCCCCTGAGTCAGAATTTTTTACCATCTCCTAGCAATGCAGGAAAAAAACCAAAGCTTTCCTTTATTTGAAATTAGCAATTAGAGACCACGCTCCTGCCCCTGGTTTTGAAGTTTATTTGTTTAAGTGATCTCTACACCCAAATGGGACTCGAACCCACAACCCCGAGACCAAGAGCTCCTCTGACTGAGCCAGCCCGGCGCCCCAAAAATCTGCAGTTTTTAGACTGTTGTTACATGTTGGCTTCCAATTTCTTCACATCGTTCCTAAGGACTGGTGCCAGTTTGCCAGCATCCTAAAAGTCCAGTTCCTGGAGCTAGGTACTGTAGTCTAGTCTGATAAGCTCAGGTTAAAGAAGAACTCTAACCTCCTCTAGTGTGTGGGCTCAACTTCTGTGAGTGTAACCTAGGACTGTAATTGCACCCCACCCCCCCACATCTGTCAATTCAGTTAGCTACCACTGTCATTGATCCTGTTGATATGTAAAACCCTAAGATGCTTTCACTGTTCTGCAGTCCCAGACTGATTAGTTTTCAGATTTAGATGCCATACTTGATTTTGTCATTCTTCTCTCTTTGCTAGCTTTTGGCCCTTTCTTAAAGTATTGTCTGAGCCACCTGTTTGGCGCTCATCCTATTCTGCCTTGTATGGCTTTGATTTGATTTGATTTTTAAGTTTTTATTTATTTGAGAGAGAGAAAGTGCACACAAGCGGGGGCGGGGGGCAGAGGGGAGAGGAAGAAGCCAACTCCCCTCTGAGCAGGGAGCCCAGTGTGGGGCTAGATCCCAGGACCCTGAGATCATGACCTGAGCTGAAGGCAGACACTTAACCAACTGAGCCACCCAGGCACCCCTATTGCTTTGATTTTAGAAGCACATTCATTAAACATGTTTATTGTCTGCCTCTGTCTGATGCTGGACATGTAGAGATGAATTAGACCAAGTTCCTATCCACAAGGAATTGGTCTAGTTAGAGAGTATGAGGACAAACCTGGGCAGAAGTTTGATGAGCTGACTTAGGGCCACTCAGTCTGGATAGCGCTAGAGATGCTAATTGCCCTCCTGATTGTATCCTGACTCAAATCCAGCTTCAAGCTGAGAAGAGTAGCCTCTGGATGATAGGATGCAAGTGATTTGCCTTAAGTATAGGCTTAGAGGGCAGGGTAGTTGGCTAGCTCCACTCTTAAGAAATAACACAAGATGAAGGTCCATTAGGATTTCCTTTTACCATCTCTGAGGGGAATCGGGAAGTGTGGTCCAGGGATCTCAGTAGCACTGTTTCTTCTCAGATATAATTACTTTTGCTATTCTTTTTCTGTTTCCTAGTCGTGATTAGCAGCAAAGAAAGGAACTTATGTTTTTCTTGGGGCTAGTAAAATGAGAGATGTGGGGTGACTACCCCTCTTCAAGATTTAAAGGGAAGGGACCCCAGAGGATATAGTGGAGGCTGGGAGGTAAGAAGAAAGGGAAATGGTTTGAGTCCTGAGGTGTGCCCTTAAGACGAGAATTAGGAGCTGTCTTGGGCCTACTCAGTATAAAAAACCATGAGATATTTTTGATTGGGAGCCAGAAAATTAGCCATGACGTTACAGCTGAGACAAGTACAAACATTTATATGGTGAGGTTCAGAAGAGGGGAGCCTGATCCAGCCTAGGGAGAGATTAGGAAATTTTTTTTTTTTTTTAAGATTTTATTTATTTAGGGGCACCTGGGTGGCTCAGTCGTTAAGCGTCTGCCTTCGGCTCAGGTCGTGATCCCAGGGTCCTGGGATCGAGCCCCGCATCGGGCTGGCTCCCTGCTCCGCGGGAAGCCTGCTTCTCCCTCTCCCCCTGCTTGTGTTCCTTCTCTCGCTGTGTCTCTCTCTGTCAAATAAATAAAATCTTTAAAAAAAGAAAAAAGATTTTATTTATTTATATGACAGAGAGAGAGACAGCGAGAGAGGGAACACAAGCAGGGGGAGTGGGAGAGGGAGAAGCAGGCTTCCGCGGAGCAGGGAGCCCGATGCGGGGCTCGATCCCAGGACTCTGGGATCACGACCTGAGCCGAAGGCAGACGCTTAACGACTGAGCCACCCAGGCACCCCAGGAAATATTTCTAAGAGAAAGTGGCCCTCAGCCCGAGTCCTAAAGGACAAGTTAAGTAGGGGAGGAGGGGCTCTCCAAGAAGAGACCACAGGATGAGCATAACAGAGGGGTGAGATCAGGGAAACTGCAAGTAGGTTGATAACACGAGAGTGGAAGGAGTTTGTTGGGACCAAGCAGGAGGTGATACTGGCCCATACAGAGCAGGACCTTTGTAGCAAACTGAGGCCTGAGTATGTGTACCTCATCCCCTCAATCAGGTCCTTGGGGACAGGCACTCTAGCATCTGATACACACAGTAAGTGGCTTGGTAAATGTGGGACTTGGTGCTCTACAGGCTCCTTTAGAAAAGTAAACCAACTCAAGTTTAATAAAGGGGAAGGATATCCTAAGCACAGATAATGTTCTCCCAGAAGTCTGGGGAGGTCAAACTAAGTCAGTGAGATGGCAGCATCACAAACAAAACCACTTTTCTATCTACTTTCTCTGCTCCCTTCCCTTTCTCCCTACTGGCTTTCTTTGCTCTTGTTCATTGTCTTTCCCTCATGGCTTTTCTCATAGGGGACCCATATGATTGCCCCAGCTCCTCAATCTGTGTGATCTTTCATCTCCTGGATAAAAAGCCAAGGAAGGAATCTACTCATAATTTTGAGCAAGACCATGGGGCATCAGTTATTGGCCAGGCTGGAATGCCCTTTGTTCAGGTACCCTTCATAGTCATGCCTTGACCAGAGTGGGGATGGGGTCATTTATGGCATGGTGCACCTGAATATATCCTACAGCTACAGCTGTGAAATGAGCAGAAGAGGCACCTAAACACATGGTTAGTGCATTCTAATATTTATTGAGTGCTTTTTATGTGCTAGGCACTGAAAATTCACGGGCAAAAGAAAATGCAAAATGCTTTGCAACATGTTTCTGTAGGTATGTAAGGTAATATCTGTGTTATCATTTGAGCATTTCTAGTACCTTTCTTGAGGATTACCTAATTCCATTTGACTAGTCATTAGAGCCAAAGGTGATTTTGGAGAAGATCCATGATAAGCCAATGGTCCAGCTCTAAATTAAATGACATTCTTATTATCTTTTTTTTTTTTTTTTAAGATTTTATTTATTTATTTGACAGAGACAGAGACAGTGAGAACAGGAACACAAGCAGGGGGAGTGGGAGAGGGAGAAGCAGGCCTCCTGCCGAGCCGGAAGCCCGATGTGGGACTCGATCCCAGGACCCTGGGATCATGACCTGAGCCGGAGGCAGTCGCTTAACCAACTGAGCCACCCAGGCGCCCACATTCTTATTATCTTTGTGAATTCACCTTCTGTTTATCTTTTTGTATGAATCCAGTGAGCTTTAGATGTACCTGAAAGCCTTAGGGTAGTTTCACTGCTTCTAGAAGGATAGTACCTACTGTACATTTGACCAGTCTTACCAGGCAAGAAGACATTCATTCCTTCTTTCAGACATTTCTTTTCTTTTCATTTAACATTGATTCATCATCTTGTGCAACATGTTCGGGCAACATCTTCTTGTCCTCGGTGCTGGAGATACAAAGATTAATAAGACTGTTCTAAGAGATCCCTCCACTTAATAGGGAAAAGCAGACACGGGAAGAATGGCACCTTAGGCTAAGGGGCAGTGTTTGCAGACAGCACAGCTGCAGAACTATAGTTTGCTTTGGGAGATGGGGAGGGAAAGAGGGTATCTGTAGGCAGGAACCAGATTCTAGAGGATCTTAAATTTCATTGTACTTTATCCTGCAGGGTGGGCATCAAAAGGCAAGGGACAGTTGGTGGTTTTAAGAATGGAAGTTAAATGATTAGGTTTGTGTTTATTTTTTTAAGATTTATTTTAGAGAGAAAGAGCGAGCGCACGCACACGAGTGCCAAGGGGAGGGGCAGAGGGAGAGACAGTCTCAAGCAGACTCTGCACTAAGTGTGAAGCTGGACGTGGGGCTCAACACAGGGTTCAGCCTCACGACCCTGAGATCAGGACCCTGAGATCACTGCCTGAGCTGAAACCAAGAGTCCGATGCTTAACTGACTGTGCAACCCAGCTGCCCCTCAGATTTTCATTTAGAAAGATGCTGGTGGCTATGTGGAGGATGGATAGAGAGTGGAGATGATTTGTATCAGACCATTTAGGAATTTATTGTGATAACTAAGATGACAGAGAAGTGGGCCTGAGCTAAAGCAGTGGCAGTGGGGAAGGATAGGAGAGATGGTTAGAAGAAGTGTCGAAAAAGATAAGTAAGTTTTTAAACTTCATTTGAAATGCTAAAGCATTTATATAATCCAGAAACTCTTACTATTGATTCATTATTTTTGCCAAAAAAAAACCCCACAATCCCTTAAACTGTTTGCCTCTTGCTTCTTTGCCTGTCAAAAAACTGGAAGACAGTGTTTTTTTGGAATTCCTCCTAACTGCCTTTCTACACTCCCTTGCTCTTCCCTCATCTTTTGTACATCTCTTTGCCTGTATTTTGAGGAGGGTTGGTTATATGGTAGTTCATTTGACCTGGTGGCTTTGTTAGGTAAGCAAGAATCAGCTCAGTCATGGCCTAACATTGTTTTGCCTTCCCATTCAGATTGAAAGACGATGACAGTGGGGACCATGATCAGAATGAAGAAAACAGCACACAGAAAGATGGTGAGAAGGAAAAAACAGAACGAGACAAAAGTCAGGGCAGCAGTAAGAGGAAGGTGAGTTTTGTGCTGTATAGATAGAATTGTCTTTGGACTTGGTTATCTTGTGGATTCTGTTATGTTAAAGATACCGGATTAACTTGATGGCACCCTATTTTGGAATATCTGCTTTTTTTTTTTAAGGGTTTACCCACTTATTAGAAAGAGAGAGAATGCATGTGCACATGTGCTGAAGCAGGGGGAGGAGCAGAGGGAGAAGGGCAAACAGGCTCCACGCTGAGCATGGAGCCCGATGTGGGACTCGATCCCAGGACCCTGGGATCATGACCTGAGCCGAAATCAAGTCAGACGCATAAATGACTGAGCCACCCAGGTGCCCCTGGAATATCTGCTTTTGTTCTCAAAAAAAGATTGTTGAGGGCGCCTGGGTGGCTCAGTTGGTTAAGCGACTGCCTTCAGCTCAGGTCATGATCCTGGAGTCCCTGGATCGAGTCCCTGCTCGGAAGGGAGTCTGCTTCTCCCTCTGACCCTGCTCTCTCTCATTCTCTCTCTCTCAAATAAATAAATAAAATCTTTAAAAAAAAAAAAAAAAGATTGTTGAATCACTGGCGTTCATGTTGGGAGTTAGAAATTTTCCCTTGCCACAGGATCTTGAGATGTTGCCTTGCTTTCCAGCATTCTCCCAGCACAAGAGATGAATCCTGGAGTTTAACAGGGCTATTTTTTGCTTCATAAGCTGCTGCTGAATATTTAATCCTATACATCCCTTGAAATTTTAGACTCTTTAGTCAGTATTAATCTAAGCTGAAAGTTACTTGGAAAGGAGAAAGTTTAGAGAATGAGAGATTGATGGATCAATTTCTTTCTTTTTTTAAGGTTTTATTTATTTGTCAGGGAGAGAGAGTGCACGCAAGCAGGGGGAATGGCAGGCAGAGGGAGAAGCAGGCTCCCTGCTGAGCAAGGAGCCTGATGTGGGACTCAGTCCCAGGACCCTGGGATCATGACTTGAGCCGAAGGCAGATGCTTAACTGACTGAGCCAACCCGGGTATCCCAGATCAATTTCTTTTTTGAAATATCAGAACAATTGTTTCTCTCATGAGGTTGAGGACTATCCAGATACAAGCATTGTAGGTGCTAAGAGAACACAAAAGTGAATGAGACTATGGATCAAGGGGCTTACATTTAATAGTAGCAGTAATAATGGTAGCTGACACCGAACACTTACTATGTGCCGGGCACTGTGCTAAGCACTTTTCATCTATTAATTTATTTGATCCTCTCAGCAACCCTATGATATGGTTGTTATTATTATTTCCTTCATTTTGCAGATAAGCAACAGAGGCAGAAACTGGTGAGGCAGCTTGCCCAGGTTACTAGCCAGTAAGTGATAAAGTGTCATAGAGGAGGCCAGTACTTGGCCTGGGAGTACTTGGCTGAGATAAGATATAAACATAAATACCTAAGATAGGAAACAGAAAGTTACAAACACCATAAGAACACAGATAAAATGTTACAGGAACTTAGAGTCAGTTAACCACTAAGTGGAATCTTGGGCATATTGCAGGTAATTGAAGATGTGTCCTTTTTGTGGAGGTGGTAATGGGTGACACTGTAAAATGTTTTCTGTGTCTCAGATCATGTGAAAAATGCCCCAGATTAACACACCTTGTTTAATTCACAGGCTGTTGTCCCTGGACCAGCAGAGCATCCCCTGCAGTACAACTATACTTTTTGGTACTCCAGAAGGACCCCTGGCCGTCCCACCAGCTCACAGAGCTATGAACAGAATATCAAACAGATTGGCACCTTTGCCTCTGTGAGTACTTACTGGTTTAATGTAGTGAGCCTTGGTAGCCTCATTGTGTTTATTTATTTTCCTGGTGACCTGTTTAGGATTCTGGTTTCTTTATCTGACTGACCTGAGTCCCTGAGGTCAGGTTTGCTCATTCTTAGATTTCTCATTAGACATCCATAAGTAGCATACATAGGTATCACAAAGTATGTGAATTGACAAGTTGACCGTAAGGGGACAATACAAAAATACAGGTTTGTTTAAGTAGATATGTATTGAGTCCTTCTTGCGTGCAAAGTGTCATGGAGGATAAAAAATTTTATAATACGCTGTATCTATTTTTATGAAGCTTGACAGTAAAGTCAAGAGTAAAATTCAAAAGTTTCTCTTGTATTAAGAACCTCCTATTAACGGGGCACCTGGCTGGTAGAGCATGGGACTCTTAATCTTGGGGGCATAGAGCTTACTTTAAAAAAAAAGAAAAAAGGGGCATAGTTAAGCGTCTGCCTTCGGCTCAGGTCATGATCCCAGGGTCCTGGGATCAAGCCCCGCATCGGGTTCCCTGCTCTGTGGGAAGCCTCCCTCTCCCACTCCCCCTGCTTGTGTCCCCTCTCTCGCTGTGTCTCTCTCTGTCAAATAAATAAATAAAATCTTTTAAAAAAAAAAGAAAAGAAAAAAGAACCTCCCATTAGGGTTTTGGATATGTTAGTAACTGTGCATAAAGTAGCATCTTCTTCCTGTGTTCAGAAAGAAAATGAAATCCTAATAATTGTTTTTGTAAGTACTGTCAGGGTCAGAAATAGCCCCAGCTGTGTCTGTCTCCGTCACAGGTGGCTAGGTTTGTGTACCCTGAAAGCTGTCTGCAACTAACACCAGTCTTGTTCAACCAAAATTTTTATGTACTTCCTACGTGCTGTACATTTGATGTCTGGGCAGAATCAAATGCAGGATTTGTTATTTTCTTGAAATTGTGGAGGTTTTTTCCCATTTAAAATGCAGACACTGGAAAAGGAAACTGTAACAGACAGTAAACATTACAATAAATTGGTAAAGAAGAAAGACCCAGTAATAGGCACTTGATGTAATTTCCTTTGATCATTATAATAACCCTATGAGATCAGTGATATTATCCGTATTTTACAAACAAGGAAAGTGAGACTTGGGTTAAGTATCTGATCAAAGTGTCAAGTCAGTCATAATCTACTTAAAGTGGAGGAGCCAGGATTGAAACTCAGGTTGGGTAGGCTGTAAAAGCTACATTCCAGAGCCCATACATACATACTCTTTCATTTACTCTTCCATTACACCAAAGTGCAAGTTGGGTGTCTCTAATATTTTTAATGTTATTTCTAGACAAACTATCCATTTATTACTAATCAGTTATATATTTGTGTGTATATATACATATCTGGTAAGCAGATTATCTGATTACTCTGCTGAGTTGATATAATTTCAGCCCAAAGCAAGGATTTTAGTTAGCCTGTGCTTCTTTCTTTCTTTCTTTTTTTAAGTAGGCTCCATGCCCATCATGGGGGCTCAAACTCATGACCCTGAGATTAAGAGCTGCATGCTCCACCAGCTGAGCCAGCCAGGTGCCTGCCTGTGCTCCCTTGTTACTGGTAGATGTAGGCTTTTTTGTAATACTAAAAATAGTTTGTGCACTGGGTGCATATTTGGTTCAAGAAATGTTTGTTAGATGAATTCACTAACAGTTCTAAAATGAATTAAGACCTTGTCCTTAAAGAAGTAAGTCATTCCCAGGGATTTTAATACAGGGAGATAGTGAGAAGTGCTATAGGGAAGGCATGGCTAAAGTGCTCTTGAAGTTCAGAGGAAAGAAGGAATTAATTCCAACTTGGGGAAAGCCTCTTTGGAGGAGATGGGCTTAAAATTAAACTTAACGAGTCCTAGCTGGCTCATTCAGAAGAACATGTGACTCTTGATGTCCTGGTTGTGAGTTCAAGCCCCACATTGGGTGTAGAGATAACTAAAAAAAATAAATAAACTTAAATATATATATGTATAATATAATATATATAATAAACATATAATATATATATAATTGAACTTAAAAATTTGAACAGGAGATATGAAAAGAACGGAATTGTTGGTAAAGGGAATAATAGAAATAAACTTTTGAAAATATCAGTGCGTTCCTAACATTCCTGAATCTATCACAGAAATGTTGATGACCTGCCATGTGAGAAAGTTAGACATTACAGGGAAGGTGGCAGCCCATTGTGTTCTGAACAACTGGATGAGCACCTGGAGGGTCAGAGAAGATTGAATTTAGGGTGGGATGGGAAGTTTTCATTCAGGATTCTGTTCAGTTATTTGGGGGTAATTGTGAATATTTCTAGCATTTTTTTTTCCTTTTAAGAAAGGCATATATAAATTTACTCCGCTTGTTCACAAAGGGTTTTCTTTTCTTTTTTTAAGATTTTATTTTATTAGCGCACACACAAGTGGGGGGAGAGGGGTAGAGGGAGAGGCAGATTCCCTACTGAGCAGGGAGCCCAGCATGGGGCTCCTCATGTGGGGCTCGATCCCACGACCCCAAGATCACAACCCGAGCCAAAGGTGGACACTTAACAGACTGAGCCACCCCAGCACCTCTCTTTTCTTTTGGCATAAATGTTGAGTTGACTAGAGCAACATCATCAGCATATCTGGGGTGTCATTCTTCCAGACTCAATGGCTATGTGACCACGGTGTTTAAAGTTGGCTATCATGTAAGTCAAGGCATTAGGAAGTGTCTCACAATATTAGGTTCCTCACAGAGAAATAATCACACTGTGGAACCTTTTATCAAATCTAAAGCAGTATTTCTCAATGCTCCTTAATCCTAATATTTGACCATATTTAAAAGTTCTTGAAATCAGGGTGACTAAGAAGGCAGTGTCTTAAAATGGGAGAGCAGTGGACTTGGGGATCACATGGCTCATCTGCTCTGGTGCTGGACTCAGGGCAAGGCCAGTTCTGAAACCATTTTCTCAACTATAAAATGAGGAAGGTAGTTGAGATTATTTCTTTTTTCAAAGATTTTTTTGGAGAGAGAGTGTGTGTGCTAGTGAGGGGAGGGGCAGATGGAGAGGGAGGGAAGAAGCATACTCCCCGCTGAGCACAGAGCCCAATATAGAGCTCGATGTAGGGCTCCAGGACCCCAAGACCATGACCCGAGCCAAAACCAAGAGTCAGATGCTCAACCAACTGAGCCACCCCGGTGCCCCAAGATTATTTCTGAAGTCTTTTTTTGTGCAGCTCACATTCTGAGTCTGAACATTTATTTTTTTGTTTCAGTGAGGAGTTTCAGAAACCAAAATTGCCTAAAGAGAAGGAAGAATAAATCTTTTAAAGCCTAATAGTATTTCTCAAGTTGTTTACTTCATCTCTCTTGTGATTTGGATATAAGATTATGACTATGAGATTCCATAGTCTGGCTATAAAATTGGAAGAGACCAAACTGCTGATAAAGCAATGCTTGATCGGGGGATTGGGGGTGGCTGGTATACTTTCTTCCTAACCACCCCCACCCCCAATTCCTAATTCACAGTGAGCCACAGGTTCTAGTGGGTGCATTTTGTTTCTTCCCGCTGTGTCAGGGTGGAAAAAGATGATTGCTCATTTAATACATATGGCCTCTTACTGCCCCCAGTTGCTGTATACAGTTAAACGTAGTGGTTGTTGAGATGCGGCACTGCTTCAGAATCCTACGAATGGCATTTGTTCCTGACTTCTTCGTAACATGAGACAGTTCCCGTGTTCCTGTTCTCTAGAGGAACTGGAGGAACAGCCACTTCATAGAGTGTAAGGTCTCTTTCTCCTTAGTTGCCATCCACATCTAGAAGTATGACCTGAATCTCTGTCTACTCAATACCCATTTTCAGCTACACATTATGGTGTCTTGCTGGGCGTTTGCTGAGAGCCTCCTCATTGGTGTATTGGCAAATACCAACTGACTTCACACTCTTCCACGTTTTTTCTTTCTTCCTAAAGTGTGCCTCTTCACTAGCCAGTACTTTGTGGGTGTCCCCTGTGAGTTACAAAGGACTAGGGAAGTAAGGTCTCCTTATCATGGCACTACTGAGAGAAACGGGAACAGCTCGATGAGTAGAAATAAGCATGTATCTGATAGACAAATAATGTCGTTTTCTAACAGGATTATGAAAGAGGGGCAAGGATTATGAAGGAGGGACAAGGAGAAACATAAGTTTTCTAGCTAAGAAGAGGGACTTAAAGCCCAAATATGAGACGCTGAGTTCTGTTGGTTTTGGCTATGGTTTTAGAGTAGTGCGTGTGGTTGATCCCATCACTTACGCTCAATAACCAAACAGAAGTAAAATGTATTCATTGTAGTTAATGCTGTATCTGCCAATAAACCAGTCTTTGAGAAGTGATCAAACTTCATGGGGATGTGATGTACAGCATGATGACTGTAGTTAATAATAATGTATTTTTTAAAAAGTGATTTGGTTCTAAAAAAAAATACATTCAGGCTGAGGTTATGTGGCACTTCATATACCTCAAGACTAAAAGGATTCCACTGTGTTGGGACACCTGGCTGGCTCAGCTGGTAGAGTGTGACACTGTAAGATTTTATTTGCTCACTTGACAGAGCCGAAGTAGGGGGAGCAACAGAGGGAGAGAGGGGAGCAGCAGAGGGAGAGGGAGAAGCAGGCCCCCGGCTGAGCAGGGAGCCTGATGCGGGGCTCAATCCCAGGACCCTGGGATCACGACCCGAGCCGAAGGCAGATGCTTAACCGACTGAGCCACCCAGGCGCCCCGAGTGTGAGACTCTTAATCTCAGGGTCATGAGTTCAAGCCCCACATTGAGCTTAGAGCCTACTTAAGAAAAAGAAAGAAACTGAAAGGATTCCACTGTGTAAAACAGGGTCCTCTTACAGCATGTGATGCTTATCCTGGGGCTTCCACAACTAGGGCTCCTGGCTGAGGCATTTTCCACCTAAAGAGTTTTTTCTTGTATCAACAATATTGTATCTTTATACTTCCCATGCAACCTGCCTGCCTTCCCACACACTTCCCCAAATGAGAATGTGTCCTCCAAAAAGTAGAGTCTGTAGCAGAGTGTCTTCCATGTTTATGTTCTTCGCCTAAATCTCATACTCATTTAAAGAAAAAGGAAAGACACATCTTTTGTGCTCTGGGGCCTTCTCTCTACAGGTGGAGCAGTTCTGGAGGTTTTATAGCCACATGGTACGTCCCGGGGACCTGACAGGCCACAGTGACTTCCATCTCTTCAAAGAAGGAATTAAACCCATGTGGGAGGTAAGCCTGGAGGACCTCAGACCACTGTTCTGAATGTTTGGGTTTTTTTTTTTTTAGCCTTGCTAAGGGTAAAAGTATTTGAAGTCTCCTCTCAGAGCTGCATCACTGTTTGGTACATCCTTGGAGCCAGGACCTCTGGGAAAAGGCACTGACGTCATTGCTTGTCAGTGTGTTTACAAAGATTTTTTTTATCACTAAAATGGTATTATAACAACATTAAAGGACTTTTTTTTTTTAATTACCCTTATTCCCATCAAACTGGTTGTTTGTGTGGGTGTGTGTGTGATTGAAATGGGTAAAAGGTAAACTTACTGACAGGCAGTAGCTGGAGACCCAGAGCTGAGCTCTGTGATCTCTTTGCTGTAATCCATCGTGTGTTCTGATGCCAGGGCATTTTTTTAGAAGACAAATGTGAACACACACACACACCCAACTATAGGCCCTGTGCAGCTCTGCATTGCTCACATGATCTTGCACTCACTCACCCTCCAGGCCTCATCTCCCAGCATGCCTAGGCCTTCCCTTCGGTGCAGCCAGCCTTCCTCTTTGCATATCTCCCTGACACACAGTCCCACTTTGTACAAGGCCATGTTTTTCTCGATGCCTACAGACCCTTCACCTGCTTTACCTGCCTAACTCTGTGTCCCTCAAGACCTAGCTTAATGTTTCCTCTTCTTGAGTGTTTCTGTCTTGTTCTTCTTTAACTTAGTGTATCTCTGTTACAGCAACACTTGTCAGACTCTACTGCTGTGATTAGTTTTCTTGGCTGTCTCCTCCACTTTCTTGTATCAACAGTACCAGACTGGATCTGGTAGAGACTGTGGCTTCACGTGTGTGTGCTTGAGACGTAGTGACACTTGGTAAATTTTCAGTGAAGTGAGGAATGATCTCTGTTTGAAATCTGACATCACTTTATTTTGGTTCCTAAAGTAGTTCGAGAAAAAGAGGATTATTTTTAAAGGGTCAGCTTAGCCATTCATTGTTATGGCTTGTACCAAGGATTCCCACCTTCTTCTTTTCTTCCCATTTCTTGTCTCCCTAGTCCAAGCACCATTTTTCCTGTAAAGTTGAATAACTGGAAAGTGACAAGACATCTTAAGTGTTCAAGGGATCCCTGGCTTTTTTCCTGCCTTCATACAAAAGTAAAAGACCTGCGAAACCACATTTTAACTTTCATGCTTTCTCTCTTGTACAGGATGATGCAAATAAAAATGGTGGCAAGTGGATTATTCGGCTGCGGAAGGGCTTGGCATCCCGTTGCTGGGAGAATCTTATCCTGGCCATGTTGGGGGAACAGTTCATGGTTGGGGAGGAGATCTGTGGGGCTGTGGTCTCTGTCCGGTTTCAGGTAAGCCACCCCATAGGCAGGTCTGGTGTCTTGTGTTGCCTTTGCTCTCCTCACTGCCTCTGGTTTGCTTTGACGATTCCTTCTGTTCCTCCTATAGGAGGACATTATTTCAATATGGAATAAGACTGCCAGTGACCAAGCAACCACAGCCCGAATCCGAGATACGCTTCGGCGAGTGCTTAACCTACCTCCCAACACCATTATGGAGTACAAAACCCACACCGACAGCATCAAGTACGTGTTGGGGGTGCTTGGGGGGCATGTCCCTAAGCTTAGGAGAAGTAGGTCCTCAGCTGGGCCCGGAGGAATATGGTCGTACAGGAGCCTGACTTCTGGAGAAGGGACAGACCAGTCTTCCCCTCTAGTGCTTCTGGCCACTTGTAGCAGTTCTTTGCTGGTGAGGCTCCCTGCCCACCTACACTGTGGGGCACTTTGTATCAGAGAGAGCCCTTCTGCAGAATCCCAGTTGCACTGCCTGGGCTTGCTTTATTTACACAGGCTGTCTTGTCTTTCATTCACTAACCACTATCTTAAAATGAAAGACAAAGTGCTCTTCATTTTCTTGCTGTTTTTTAAGATAATTTCACTGAACAATCCAGTCCTCCTCCCTCTCCACCCCTCACCCCACTTTTGCATGTCTTTTTAACCTGTTAGCGTCAGTCTGTTTTCTTTGTCCTGGGAAATTGACTTCTTACTGGGAATGACAACTCTATTTCCTTGTGTGTAGAGCTGAAATTGTAGAGGAAGCAGAATAGTGTGTTTGTGAGAGTAGAATCTAAGGGGGAAGCATGAATGCCAAAGGGGAAGTAAGCTTTGTGATCTGCCTAGTACTCGGGGTACCTAGAGTTGGATGTCCACAAATGAGAATCACTGGTTAGGGTTGCTCCTTCAGTGATCAAAGTCATATTATGAAGAAGTTGTGGGGAGTGGCTGTCAGGTTTTCTCAAAACTGGAGGGAGAGCTTAGCCAACTAGGAGTCGGGACTTTTAGGTTTAACTCTCTCCTTTGACTCCAGTATCAATATGTGCCTTTGGCAAGTCTCTGCCACTCTGCTTCAAGTCTCCCCATCTGTAAAATGGGGGATAATAATACTTTACCTAACAGGGTTGTTGTGAGGCTGATTTAATCTTTGTAATTGAAGGTCCTCAGGTGGAGAATGCTCTTACAGGGTGAAGTATTATTATTGCTATCATCGTCATCATTAGTAATAATATCATCATCATGTTATTCTTATTAAAGACTAGTAATGAGCCCAGTGTTGGTGTTCAGCAGGCAAACTATTTGGGAATCTTTTTCCCATGCATTCACAGAGAATGTTGTGGGTGGAGTTGGCTTAAACCAGCTAAGTGCCAGTTTTTTACTGGGAACACTGCCACAAGAGTTGGTCCATAATGAGATGGCTGGCTGTGACTCATCCATAGCCACCAACAGTTATTAGCCAGCCATGGCCCCAATTGCTTGCCTTAGCAGTCCTGAGTTAGCATTGTTTTTCTCTAGGTAGATTTCCCCATTCTTCGTTCTGGGAGAGAATAGTTTCTGCCCTCCAGCCAGACACAGCCCAGGCTGGAGAGATCCACACCTACTTTTTCTAGGACTCATTCGTTCAAGGTTCCCAAATGCCCTCCACCCCCCTACCCCTCAAAAGCAAGCTTTCACCTGGCTAGGAAAGGGAAAGAGGTATTTTTCAACTCTCCCCTCTCCACTGTTCTCCCTCTCTAATACCCTGAGGCGGTTCTTCCTGACTTTTGTAGAAATATGAACCAAGTCCTTACAGAGTCTAGGAGAGCCCTTGGGCTTTTTGCCTTAGTCTGCTGCTCTGCTGCTTTATCAAGAGATCTGCCTAGCACTCCAGCCCTGCAGCTATAGAGACCAGAAACCCTCCTTGAGTCCCAGATGCTACTTTCCCTCGCGTCTCCCTCTCTTTCCTCTCCCAATGTGCCCACCTTTTGCACTTCCACTAGAATGCCAGGCAGGCTGGGCCCCCAAAGGCTCCTTTTTCAAAACCTCTGGAAGCCGCGGTTGAATGTGCCATGACCCTCTCCCTCTCTGGATGGCACCATCATTGAAGCTGGCATCATCGGAGTCTCTTGTTCTGTTGGCGTGCTACCTGGAAGATCCTTCTGTCCTGGACAAGAGGAACTGGAAGAGCATTTTATGTTTTAAGAACAGGCTGACACGCAGCAGCTACAACAACAGCTGAGATCACTTAATAAATGGTGCTAAACTAGCTTGTCTCATGCTCTCACTCTTTATGGTGCATCAAAGAAGTGGCCTTTCAGACTGACTGTCACCATATTAAGGAATGGCACAGACTTCTCCATAGAGGTCCATCGGGGGAATGCAGCCTCATTTCCATAAGCCCATTGTAGTGTCACATGGTATTTTGTTCCAGTTCTGCTGAGGTCTGACATAATGAGGTGACATCTCGCTCTCAAAATGACACCCCGTTTTCTGGTACTTGAATTTATAGTTCCCGTCTGGTCACGCTGATGACCAGAGTGATTTCTGATTAGAATTCAGCTTGACAGTCTGTTAAGGTTGGAAAGGGGGATCCTTGGCCTTTGCTTCGCTGACTTTGTTTGCCTTTACTTCAGAGAACTCTCTTGCTTGAAGGGAAAGCCCTGCTTCCGTCTGCGTGTGGCTGTGTGTTTACAGTTGCCTCGCTTTGTGTTAGCAGGGTTTTCTCGCTGCCAGAGCTGCCCAAGCCGCGAGCTCTCTGCCGGCCTTCTCCCTTCTGTTTTCCATTTAGAGCCAAATCCTCTTCCTCTTCGAGGTAGTCCTGCTTGTAAGTTTTCAGGGTTCTAGCCCTTCCCTTTCTCCCGGTCCCCAGGGTTGTTGTGCATCGGGATCTGGGGTGGGGAAATGTCTTCATCCTGTAAGAGTTTGCTCCTTGGGATATCTGACTGTAGCACATACCAGCCCCTCAGATGCTTTGTGGCTTGGCTTGGACGTGCTACAACACGGCCTTTAGGCCCCTGACCTGCACGTCGGGTTTCAACAGGCCTCATACTACTTTTAAGTTTTCTTAGGAGCTCCTACCCAAACCAAAAAGAAACAATTTTTGCAGAACTTTAGGTTAGATTGCCTGATAGCATCTTGAAGGTGGCTGTGGGTGTACTATGGAGTTTTCCAAAGCGGCTCTTCCATTTTGGCAGCAACACCCTGTGCTTCTACCATCCTGATTGACCACCAGGCTGCACGTGGCCCGGGATCTCACAGAACACACAGTGGGTCTAGCCTTTAACATTCTGGAGGTGTTTGTGTGATTGGTTTTCTGCTTATTGCATATCCCAAATTGGCTGAAGTACCTGGAAAATGGGAGGTTTGTTGGCATATGGAAATGCCTGTTCTCTATGTTTTTAGTATTGTCAAAGAATTACCTTCTATGGCCTTTTCCCTCTTGCCTTCCAATATTATGTTACACGTATTGACCTTAATTTCGGCTCTATAACTGGTCCAGGAGATGAGCTTGATGTCACCATCCAGAGTAAGAGTTGATCAGAAAGCACCAAACCCACGCGGAGGCCCCTGTGATCCTTGCCAAATGTGAAAGGAAGTCAGAGCTGTTATGCTTTGTTCTAGTCCTCGTGGCTGTCCCACAGGTGTGGCTTTGGTTAAGCCCAGGAGCCGCAGCAAGAACTTGAGAACTCAGAGGAAGTGAAGGAAGAAGGAAGGGAACCTTTGTTCTCCCCCAAGTTCTCTGGAGAGTAGGGCTGCTGGAAATAGGGCCATTTTTCTAGGAGTGGCTTCGATTTCTCAGTCACGTTTCTCCACCTTGCTGTGTTTCAGTCCAGTTTTCAATGTCCTTTTTCAACTGTTTGGTTTTTCCAGCCTTTCCCTAGTCACGCTGCTTGTGGCCTCTTCCTGCTGCACTCCTAGGTGAGCTGAGGCCGGCGCTGCTGCATCCTGGGCGTGGTGAGCTGCTTTGCTGCCCAGGGGACGCCTGCCTGCTGCCTCCTACCGTTGTTCATTGCCAATAGTTCCACCCGTGAAGGGTGAGCAGGTCCCGTGGACAAATGGGAAACCTGTTAAACTGAGTGTTAGCTCAGGTGCATGGCTCCTCTGAATGAGACCAGTCGTAGTTGAGGTTTCATAGGTTTGGGTCCTTGCAAGCGTCAAGTGACTAACTGTATCCTCTCTGAGGAGAAATCGCCTAAGGCAGCCAGACTTGCAACCAGCAGGGATAAAACTTGGCCCAGAGCCACATAAAGCAGCAATATCTTTTGTGAGGAAATTCCTCTTTGGAATAGTCCCATTGAGTTCCTTTGTGCATCTGGCCTGGAATGGAAAAGGGGAAGACAGGGCCAGCTTCACTCAGTGGGCCACAGTCCTGGGGAGTCTGACCAGACCCCACTGCACAGAAAGTTGAGGGTAGGTGATTTCTCTTTATTACTTTATTCTAGAGGAGAGCTGGGTCAAACATGGGGACTTCGCTTTACCACATCTAGATTTCATTGTATTTAAACATTGAACTTTGTAGGCAAGAACGACCCATCCCTTCTCCTATCTTAGCTAAATTAGAATCATAGCCTGGTGGCACTGAGTCACACCAGCATAATTGCTGGCCTGGCTTTGCATTTATGAAATGTTCCCCATACTGATGTTCAAAGCAAAGAAAGCCCAGACTGGCAGGAGGCTGAGCTCATCCGTGAGTGTATCTCAAGTGCCAGATGAGCGCAAGGCTGTGAAGCAGGCTTTAGGCAGGGTGGGGGCAAATACAGTTACCCAGAAATGAGATCTCTGCTGTCAGAATTTGTTTTCTGGTAAGTGAGCTGGGACAAGAGTGGTCTCTAAAGGACTCTTTGTCACTCTGTCATTTGAATCTGTTCAGAATTCCCTGTAGGCTCTGTTAATCTCAGGGCAATTTTTTTTTTTTTTAACTCCATTCATATGACACTTTTAACATTTAATTTGTTCTTTCTTCACCTTTAAAAGAAGCAAGTTTTAATATTACCTAAAATACCTGGGATGCCAGATGGAGAATAGCTAGAAAATTCGTACCTAGCTCTAGGTGGTTGACTTGCCTCTTAACCAAGCATTGGCCTACGAGAGTAAGAATGATTGTTCAATGACTATGACCAACCGTTTGATTTCCACTGAATCCATGTGAGGAAATTTCTGTACCCAGATTCTTCATGTTGAGGTTTAGCATCTGAAGAAGATCCTTCTGAAGAAAATGGGAGGGCAGTTTCATACTGGAATGGATTAGAGGGGAACTCTGAAATATGTATTTCCGCAGGTTCTTGACACAGAACTGCTCTGTTTGGACTAGCGTAGGCCTTTCTGGAAACAAAAGGATAAATGAGATGAAGCTTCAACACAGCCATGTAATTCCTTGTTGACACCTAAATTGCTTAAAATAGAATTGAAATCTCACTGTTAGAAGGAGAGAGGGGTTTCCTAGGCCGCTGCCCAAGCATCGGACTTGCTTTGCCCTTATCTTCGTTTGGAGTGGAGAATGAAATAGCCTTCTGATGTCACTCACGGACTCAGGAAATTCACCGCATCACTGCCTCTCCAGAAAGGGCTGTGGAATGGAACAGATGTCTTGCTGTGGACATTGAGTTTGTGAATTGACAAAGACTGGCACGCTTGTTTGGCGGTCTTACATTTTTCTTCAATTGAGTTAGCATGTATGAGTAGCTTTGGTAATACTCTCTGAAGAAACCATCAACCGCAGATCTACCTCTTGAGGTAGATCATTAACTTATAATTGCTGCCGCTGTTCAAAAGAGGGAAAAACTAATGAAACGTACAAATATTACCCAAAAGAAGGAATTTGTCATACCAGGTCACTGTATTTAATCCCTCCCTATTTAAAAAGAGAAAAGCTACCCATAGAAGGCCTAGTAATGAAGTATATTCTTTGGCCATAATATTAAACCTGTAGTGAGTTGTCACCCTGGGTATTGTCATCCCTTTAAACCAAGAATGGAATAATTGCCAGTAAGGAATTTTCTATTTAGAAGTACCAGATTACCCATTTTATATATATATAATTTCCCAGGGTACGTACCAGGCACTTTGTCCCCAATGGGGCTAAAAAGTAGGGCAAAAAGGTAGGACATCAGCTCCTCCGAGGAAACTCTAGGTGGTGTAGGGCTTCAGGATGCATGGGGGAATCTGGTTTTCTCCTGCTTTTTGGCCAGCAGTCACCAAGGGCTTGTTCTTCGTGGAGCAGCACCTGGAAAGACTGTGTACCCCTCGATCACAGTTCTTATCCCTTCCTAACCACAATTACTAAATCGAGTTAATTGGCATGAAAGTTATAAGGAGCACTGATCCCGAGAAATGTTGAACTGTGGCCTACACAGTTTAAGTTAATAGTTACGTGGGTATTTCCAGAAACAGATGGAACCTGATACAAATTTGGGGGTGTGAGTTGAGAGGGGTCAGAAGGTTGGAAATGTGGAAGCAGAGAAAGTGCTATAGTTGCCTCATTGCAACTTCAGACATCATGATGCCATTGGTAACTGCCCTTACCCCCAGGGTGGAGCCTGATGAAGAAAAGGAGTTCCTGCCACCCGTCCTCATGCCCCCAAGGCCGAAAGCACCGCTGCCCTTCACCCCAGTGCTGAGAGGGATCTCTCGGGATGGTCGAGCTTAGCTCTGACCTCAGTGCCCCCCTACCCCCCCCCCGCCCCCCCGGTAGACTTGCAAGCAGCAGGTAGAAGGAGGACTGTGGCAAATGCTTGAGGGAATAGTGAGGGTCAGACTTCACCAGTGGAGCAAGCCAGGAGCAGTGCCAACTGCCCCTGAGGGGGGCTGGCCACCACTGCTGCTGTGAGTGGGAAGTCCAGATGGGAAGCCTCATCGCTGGGCTTCCAGGTACTGGTGGGCGCCACTCGACCTGGAGGTATTGGGAGCGGGATGTGGGGTTATCGTGTCTGTGCGCTCTTTGTTAAAAAGCTGTTGACCTGAATGTGCTATTGTGTTTTTTGTCTCTGGTTTGCCAGGGCCTGGGAGGAGTTTCATGGCCTGGTGAACAGCAGCGGCCGCTGATCGGACGCTCCCCTCTGTCTCTCACACTCAGGGTAGGGCCTTGTCTATCTTCTCTGTAACCTTGTGACATACCTCTCAGCCCCAGGCCCCCTCTTCCCAAGGGCATGCGCTCTCCCCACGTACTAGCAGCCATGCCTCTGCCAACGTGGGGCCTGCTCCCGCCTCTCCTCTCTGACTGGTCGTCACAGTCTCAGAAAAGTCCTGAGTCCAAAGCCACGGAACCATCCTTGCGGGGTCACTCCTGGTGAACCTCTGGGAAGATTGTTTAACTTACTATACCCCTATTTTCTCATTTGGAAAAGTGAGGTTCCACGGACTAGAATGTCTCGGATCTCTTGCGATGCCAACATTTCATGTTTATAAATGTGCCACAGACCCTTTGTCTTTTGCCCAGACGTGGCCATTTTTAAGCCGTCTGGCAGTGTCCTATGACTAACAGGCCAATTCCATAGGCTCCGGTGTGAATTAGGTGAGGATGGCTCTTGTTTGCTGGTGGTGTTTGTCAGTTGTGAGCAGACAGTGATAGAACCTGAGGGTTTCACAATGAGAGGGAGCTGGGGTAGACGCAGGCTGTGCTCTCACTAGACCGCCACACGCTTACTGGCAGGGAGAGGCCCTGGGAAATCGAAGGCAGGTCGACTGACACATTCACTTTAAGAACATTTGTATTTCAATTAAGAGAGTGCCAAGTCCATGTGTGTCTCTTTAGCAGAGGGAACTGGGTCAGTTGATTCTGGATGAAAGGACAGTATCTGCATGTGCCTGCCCTGAGAGCATATTCCTGGACATTAACTACCCCCCACCACCACCACCACCCCCATCCCTGTGAGAGAGAGAAGTGCTAAAATTGGAGCAGAGCATGTCAGCTATAGTAGCTGCTTCAGAACTCCCCCGTCCCAGGAAGGAAATGAGGCAGTTTCAAGAGAAGGAGACCAGCAGCCCTCGGCTGGGCATGAAGAGAGGATGACACTGAGGGACGGAAGCAGGTGGCCCGGGGTCTGAGTACTCTGTGGAGCTGGGATGATCTGTAGATAAACAGTCCCAGAATTACTGCATGCATGGATAATGCCACTCGTCTCTTTTTTAATAGTTTTAATTCCTTTATTATAAGTTCAATTTTTAGATGATGCTAGATTTTAAAAATTGCCGTTTATTTAAAAGGTTTCTCTGTAAAATATAGTCAACAGAACTCTGAGGTGGCTGCTACTATATACCAGGAGGGATGAAAAACATGCATGGGCTGTCATGTTGGCTACACTGATTTGCAGGATGAAAAATAATTTCCAGAGCCCTGGCACTAGAGTGGAATTGGGGTTTTTTTAAAGATTTTATTTATTCATTTGAGACACAGAGAGACAGAGAGAGGAGAGAGAGAGAGAGCAAGCATGAGCAGGGGGAGAGGCAGAGGGAGAGGGACAAGCAGGTTCCCCGCTGAGTCAGGAGCCCGATGTGGGGCTTGATCCCAGGACCCTGGGACCATGACCTGAGCCGAAGGCAGAAGCTTAATGACTGAGCCACCCAGGCGCCCTGGAATTGTTTTAATAACATTACCATATTTGATTATTTGTAGGGTTCCTTTTTTTTTTAATATCCCTAAAATCAGGTTGCTCATAGTGAATATGATAAGAAAAATTTTGACATAGTTTAATTGGCAGTATTTACTTAGAGTACATAAAACAATGGGATCTTTAAAAATCAGTAGCATCTTATATCCCATGAAGGGGGAGGAAAGGCTTTAAAATGAAATTGGAAGAGTCAGAATGGGAGAAAACTTTTATAAAACTATTCCCTCCCCTTTCACTATCACTGAGTCCCTCGGGAAAGATACCTGAATTGCCTCAAAATCACATGTTTTATATCATTACCATTTTGCAGTCTCTTTGTTCTTTTTGTTGCCCCTGTATCTTTTTTATCTGTCAGATGAAGAAAGCACTTCAGGAGCACTACATAATTTAGGTGTCGTCCCCCCCCCACCTTTTTTTTAAGTAGGCTCCACGCCCAACATGGGGCTTGAACTCACCACCCTGAGATCGGGTCGGATGCTTTATCGACTGAGCCAGTTAGGTGCCCCCTAAGTGTTCTTAAAACACATGGCCTTGGAAGTCTGAGAGGAGTATTAGCATCTAAACGAAAAAAATCACCTCACTTCATTGTCCTAAAGACCTGAGAAGGACTCCAATTTCATTCCTATCGCCTTACCCCTGGACAAGGTGCTCTAAGAGGCTGGGTACCTCCAGCTCATAGCTCCTCATCCTCTCCACCTTTTCTTCTACCCCCTTCCAAGTAGACCATGATCTGGGGAGAAATAAAAACTGCTATTTAAGTAATTCTTTTTTTTTTTTTAAGTAATTCTTCTTGAACCACAAATACTTCTCCTCAGTTTACCTGATATTTTATGCTATTACATATAGCTGCTAATATTTTAGAACGGTTTCATTTGATCTGCATTACAAATGAGGATTGCACTTTTAACCATGGCTTCAATAGCAGTCCCCGTTAGCTGCTGGGGAGGATTGAGGGTTACTTATGTGTCTGGCCTGGCAAGCGCAGAGCAGTGGTCTGTGTATTTGGGGAATGAAGTTGGCACTCAGTGGGAGATTAGAGGCTGAAACTTGCCCCACTGAACCTAGGAAGGGTTTGCAATTTTATTATCCAGTGAGGGAGAGGGGAGGAAGCCAGAGCTAGCCCGGGGTGGACAGCTGACAGAGAATGTTCCTCGGAAGACCGTGTGTAGGCTGAATTGTGAGTGTACTCTCAGATCCCCCTCCGGAGCAGAGTCAGGTAGGGCTCCTCCTCAGTGTTCCCTTGAGGCCCCAGAACAACTGTGCCGCTCTTGCTGGGCACGAGCTCGGCGATAGCTTCCTACAAGAACAGAGGCGTTCCTGTCAGGAACCGGCCACCGTGCTTCTCTGCTGTCCACCCTCACGAGCCAGCCTCTACCTCAGCTTATTCTTCCCAGAGTTGGAACTTGTCCTTTTCTCTAGAAGGATGAAAAAGGTGATTATGGGGAGGCAAAGCAGATTAGAAAGCTATTTCAGAGTATTTGGGCAATAGATTTGCCTAAGATGCCTGGGAACGTGAAGTTGGAAGCCAATTTGGTTAGGGCTCTGGTATTTCTGAGGCCCCGCTATCAGGACAAAGAGTCATCCGGTAGAGCACATCTTTCTGACTTCTCTAGCCTTGTGGATCTTTTGGCTGCTGTGCCCTGATGTGTAAAAATCCTTGGGAATAAATTAAGATACAGTGGAAAAACTGATGTCTGAAAAGCCCCTTTAAATCAGTACACTAGGCCCCGTCCCAGTTGCTTATTTTACATAAATTCACAGATGAGGATGTAAAAATGTTCTTATTTCCTTCTAAAAGATCTGTTGTATCGTTAAAAAAACAAAAACAACAGAAAACCCTTCCTGGTCACCCATGCACCATTACAACATTGCTGGGTGACTAGAGGGGCTAGCTTTTAGGAGCTCACTCTGGATTTTCTAAATTATAGTTTGCTTTTAAAAGAACAGAAGTCCATCTTTTTAAAAAAAATTAAAAGTTGCCTGTGACCTCTGCCACTTCCTGTCTTCCTCCTTCCTTTCTGTGTCTCCTAATCTCTCTGGCACTGCAGCCCCGGGATGAGGACAGAACGGTGGATTAGTTCTCAGCTGGTCTGAGGTGAACGCATTCCTCAGACTAAGTCTGGCAGCGAGCTGTTCTCAGTCCATTTTTTTTTTTTTTAGAAAAGCTGGACCAGAGCCACCAGCTGCCACCAGCCTGTCATTGTCAGGAGCCTGTCACCCGTTCTCATTGCTCTTTGTTTTCCTTTATATCAAAGGGACAAGCTCAGCTAGATTTTTCTGGCTCCTTACTCTTCTCCCCTTTTCCACATTACAAATAAACCTTAGAATAATTGTGATTTCTTAGATTTTCTGACCCTGAAGAGATCTGTGATAATAGAAGTACTTAGAATAAATAGTAAATATCTGGATAGGAAAGTATTATAGAGCTCTTCAGTTTCCCTGCCACAGAGAGAAAATTTGTCTGTGGCCCAAGCCCAGCACAGTACAGGGACTCTTCCAAAAGATAAAGGTGACCTGCTTACAGTGATGACTTGTCCGGAAAGTTCTTCCCTCTTCGTCACTAAACAGATGAAAGGCGGGTCGAGACGCTTGCCTGCCATCTCTCTTACTCCAAGATAAATCATTTTCCCAGTCAGAAAATCCTGTGATGCTACCGTCCCACACCCCGCCTTTCTATTTACTCATTTTATTTCTCCCTGCTGATTGACTTTTGTGATCCAGTTGCTCTGTGGGGATAGAGGGGGCATCAAAAGGGAAGAAAGGGAACAGAGCAAACCATTCCTTCCTGATCACTTCTTTTGTTAGTAGAGGGCTTCTCTGACACGGTCTCAGTAGTACATCATCCCCAAGGGGACTCAGAAGTCACACGCACACATCAGTTACGCCTGCTTGTCTGTTTTATAATCAGATACAACCTTATTCATCCTTTGCTAGCTACTTGTGGCACCTCAGTGGGATCTGTCCTTTTGAAAGGACTTTTAAAAAGATGATCACCCCATTAGGTTTTTCTTTGTGTTCAGTCTTTACCTCCTTAGGTGGAAATCTTCAAAATGCTCAGTAGCCATGGATAAATGAGCTACATGGTCATGCATGTCAGTTATAAAAATACTAGTGGTCTGTTGAGATAACATCAATTTCTTCCCAGCCAGAGTTCACCTACACCAGCTCTGGTTTCCTCTCTCAGTGTACTTGTCCACAGTCATTCTCCTCGTGTATTGAGGGCTGTTCTTTCCTGTCAGCCTGCTGCCATCATGGGGGAGAATCTGTTACTGCTAACTGGAGACTGCTCTTTGTCTGGGCTGAGCGTATTCTTTCATATGTACTCTGCGCCAATAGCCATACACCCAATAAGTTGTAGCAATTTAAAATGGGTCAGTTAAAGCTAAGGCTTCTAGAATATCCCACTAAAACTAAAAGGAAGTAATGACTCAAAAATCAGATTAATCAGAATTTCTGTTCTAGAATTTCAGATACTTTAAAGTCTGAAGCTCTGAGCTATAGCAGCAGATGAGGTGACCTTTAAAGCCCTTTCCAGCCCTAAGATTGTGGGATTCAAATGGCAATGTGAAATGCTGAGATGTTGAATTTCTAGTGTGGAACAGGAAAGATTTCTGGTAGGTGGCCAAGCCTATCTACATCCAAGAGAAGGCGACTAAGAGGACATGACTTACCATGTGTTACATACACACATGCTTCTCTTTTAAGAATTATAGCTAAGTGTCTAAAGGCTATGAGTATTTCACCTCGTGGAATATCCTTTTATAAGTAGCTATACGTTTTGAATAGAGAGTTTTTTGGTTGATTGGTAGGTTGATTTTTTTGAATACATGATATAATCACATCGTTTGATTTTTTTTTTTTTTAAGTATGTGTGCATATGGGTGTGTGTGAGAAAAAAGGGTGTTTCCTCCCCACTCTAACTACACCTGCTCAGTTTCTGCTGTGCCCCCCTTTCCCTCCTCCACTGCCCCATGTAATCATTGTTGTTGGTTTCTTGGGTGGCCTTATAGACTTTATGTCCATACAAGCGATATGAACTATGGCCTTATATCCCCCACCCCCACTTACACAAAAGGTGGTGTACTATGTACACACACTATTCCATACCCTCTCAGTTTCTCTTGGAGAGTTTTCCATATTAGTAGTGAGCTTCCTTGGCTTGTTTTTTTTTAAGCTGCACAAGTGTCCCAGTGAATGAATGTGCCATAATAGTCGTATTTAACCAGTGCCCTTTTGCTAAGTATGTGGGTTGTTTCTAATCTTTGGCTCTTGAAAATAGTCGAGTTGAAGTGTTCGAAGGGACTTGGGAGGTGGTTTGCTATGTTGGCATTAGATTAGCAAGGAAGGAAATTTCTGGGGTGTGTCATGAGGGCCCTGGAGCTGCTGAGTTCAGGTCTCCGCCCCGTCCCTGCCCCGTATGTGTGTTGTTGCCTGTAGAAGATCTGTGTATTGAATGCTCTGTTTTCTCCCATTTTTTTCTTTCAGGGACAATTCAAGCTTCCGAAATACAAAAATCACATTGTGAAAGTACTCAAGCTGGCAATAATCCTTTTCTGTATGTGTGTGTTTGTCCAAAATGGATGGGAGGTCTCCAGCTGGTCCTTCCATCTGCTCACTGAAGGGACGTCCCTGAGCCGTGCGCTCCCCTTTTGCACTCATTCCTGGAGGACGGATTCCGCTAGACACCCTCCAGCATCGCTGACTTTATAAAGCGGAAAAACAGAAAACGTGACTTTGTAATAGACAAACTTTTTTTTAAATGGGATTCTGTCGGGGTGGGGGGAGTTCAGCCTTTCGTTTTGCTGTGTGCTGTCCAGATGCCTGTCGGCGTTTTGTTATGCTCTTCGCTGCTGTACAAAGGGCATCGTGACCACGTGTACAAGCCAGAGCTGTCGACTGAGAGTTATCAGTATTATGAATGTCTGTGCATCCAGGAAAAGCTTTTTGTTGGAGAGTCCCGGAATAGCTATAAATGCTCTCTTCTAGCTCTGCCATTAAATTATTGGGACATTTTGTTTATTTCTCTCCCCTCTTCCCCCAAGCCCACCATTTTCTGAAAATGTGTTACTGATTGTGTATAGTCTCCTGCCTTACGCCCTCCAGCCCTCCCTCCTGTGGGACTCTTTCTTCTTAGGCACTGCTGCACTTAGAATTTTAAGCCAGTGGGCCACACTGGTTTCACTGAGGCGGCTCAGAAGGTATGCCTTGGTAAATTAAACTGGAGCAGAATCCAGTGTGATTAGGAGCTAAGTTATAATAGCGGTTCCAAGTGCAGGATTTGGAGCTGAGGGCAATGTCTGAAACCAGATGAGCAGGGCCTGTGTGTCCAGCCTGTTCCTGTGGGTTCTTGCGTGACCCTCATTGAGGAAGGGAAGCAAAAGCTTGGTTGTCACCCAGTATTAACACTTCATGTGGTAAATTCTATGATCCTGAAACTGGGGCATCTGACGAAAAGGTGACCGTGATGGGTGGCTTTCTTTGCATGGCTGTGCCTGTCTGCAGTGGTTGAGGAAACCTGCTTTCCGTCCGTATCACCTGGTAGATGCGCTAGTCAGTGTGTGCTGATCCACGATACCCAGACAGAAACCTCTCGTAGGCCACTGCTAAACATGCTTTAAAAATGACCGGTCATGCATCAGAGAAGCCAGGTGACCTCACTCCAGAAGGACTGAAGTCAGAGAGGTCAGAAGAGCACCTAGGATGGAAATAAGTACTGAGTACGATTCCTACAGCAACCTCCAAGGAGCACTGTCTTACTTGGCTCTTGTGAGCAGAGATCGCAGTACCTTAAATTAAGGCCTCTCCTAAAACCTATCCTCGAAGGCCAGGCCCTTAGCCACCTGGTCTCAGAGAAATCATATGAGAGTAACAGGCATTTCCTTATTGTATTTATATTACTCTCTTCCTACTTTCCAACTCCCAAACACCTTCTAATTACCACTGTCTTGGGATGCTTTTTCCCCCGAAAGAGCAGGGAGTACAGGAGCCAAAAGGGAGGTGCTTCCATTACAGGTGAAGTTAGATCTACGGAGAAGAAGATCTAGCAGTGATTTAAACTCCAGGAGTATGAAGAATGAATTGTAGTGCCCAGACAGTTGTGAAGGGCTCAGGCAAATATAGGAGCAACATTGGCTAAAATGGGGAGCAAAGGCTGCTTCCTGAGTATTTGTTTAGACCCCAGGAAGGGCTTCACTTTTGCCTACACTCAGATTTGCCATGAGAATCCCAAAGAGAGCAGACGTTTGGATTTGCCCTCCTTGGGGCATCTGCCTGACTATTATGTGTGTGCGAGCAGGTGTGTATGTGTATAATGTGTTCATGAGGGAGGGTTCTGTCAGGCTGAGTGCTTCGGTGTATTGTCCGTATTCATATTTTTGTGCTTTTTTTGGTCTCATTCAGATTTTTTAATCTCTTGTGTTTTCTAGAGCTGCTCATGTTTCCCTTCCTCCTTGTCATTGCAGTATTTGAAAGTTATTTTTTACCATCAAAAGATGCTGACCCTTGTGCTGGTTAGAACAAGAGTTATTTCTCTTAGGCAGTGTCTCCCCCCCCAGAGCTCTCCCAGATATTCCGCCCAGCAGCTTTAAGTGGAAGGTCGAAGAGTCAGTTTAGCCAAACCACCCATTTTCCAAACTAGCTTGAGAGGTCCTTTCATTTCTTTTTGACTCCATGGGCCTCTGCTACACCGAGCTGTAGCGTGGCAGTGGTGATGGTCTCACCTGTTCTGGGGACAAAGGGGTGAGAGGTGCACCCGGGCCAACCTCACAAACATGTAGGTTGCTCCCAGGAGACGGGGAGTCACCTTCCACTTTGCACAGGTGGGCTGTTTCCCCATGACCCCTCTGCTGGGTTTTCCATTTGAAATTGGCCCCTCCTCCTCTCCAGTGCTCTTCTCATTTTGTCCTTCTTTTCATGTGTGTGGGGTTTTTTCCTGTGACATTGGCAGTGGCAATAATTTTCCACCTCGAGAGAAGCTTGTGGTCCACGATGCTGCAAGAATGAACTGCCCAGAATTTGCCAGTGGAGGAGCAGACGCTGTGGCAAAGTGATTTGGTGTTGCACTTTCAGAGCAGTTGTCTACTGCGGTAATAAATGGAAAATATCCGCAACAACCAGGCTGTGGACTCTTTCATCCGGGGAAGTGGGGAAGCTGATAGTTGTGGCTGCTCAGTCTGTCCTCCAGTGCACAGGGCTTTTAAATCCATTCCAGAACAAAACCTGTGGGATAGTTCAGACAGTGTGGGGTCATTGACATAAATGTGTTCTAAAGATACTCTCTCATTGGTTATTAATCATTGCCAAAACTCCATTGAAGTGTTTCTGATACAAAGTTTTAATATCAAAATACTGTTCATTTCTATTCTCAACATGGGCTGAGGACTATTGGACCGGACGGAAATTCGAAATAGAATTTGAAGAAATCACCAAGTGCCCGTGTGAAATACCAAGGGAGAGAGAAACCTTGCAGAGCCTCAGCTGATGAAGGATTTAAAACAATGCAGACTTGACACCATTTCTTTCCCATTTCAATACGTAGAAACTTCCTGTGTCTGTCAGTCATGGTCCAAATAGAAGACACAACACATGAAAGTCATGTTAACAATAGTTTAGGATTTTTGACACAGTAAGTAAAAAGGCAAAAAGAAAGGAAGAATCAAGAAGACAGCAGCCCCAGGACCAGCTGCCTCAGGATGGAGGCCACTCCCCTGGTGCTGGGGTGTCTGCGGGCATGACAGAGCTGCTTCTGAGTGTGTTGAAGATGGAGAGCCCCTGGATCGAGCTGCAGCTACGGGGACACGCTTGCCGCAGCTGCAAAGGGGTCATGCTGTAGGAACGGGAAGGATCGGGGTCCCTTTTCCTCTTCCAGCACTGAGGCTTCTCTCCCGGGCATCCTGCTGGAGAAATCCCACAGGATACCAGCGAGCAAAGCAGAAATGTTTGCAGAGTGCTGTGGCCAGTTGCACAAAAACAGTTAAAAATGCTGGGTGTGAAGCTGAGAGACAAAGTCTTGTAGTTGGTACAGCCCTGCCCCTTAGCTGCACAGCATCTATACACAGCCTTCTACATGTATTTGAACTTTAATATTATCACAAAAGCTACTCCGTTTCTGTCCGAGATGCAACTCATTGTAAGAAGATGGACTTACTCTCTCCCAAACTGAGGAAACGTAAAGCCCAGCAATTGTGTGGATCTCTGGGCCATGCTGATTGCTCCCATCTAGTCACAGTCTCGTCTGAATAGAATATAGAATCACAGGATGCTACCTAAACACTAAACAGTAAGGTTAGCTTGCAACAGAAATTGCATGAGATCCTGAGAAGGAAGTCGTGTGTGTGTGTGTGTGTGTGTGCGCTTGCGCTTCTGGAGTTGATATTTACAACTGCCTTTTCCACTACCTGGTCTACATCTCCTTTGCCCTCAGCCAGGATCTCAGCTGGGTTCTTTTTTGGCATGGTTGATCAAACCTTTATTCCTAAAGGGTCTGAATTAATTGTCCTGCCTTTATTTTTTTAGTTTTTCATTCCTCGTTGTAATTTCTAAGAGGGACCTAGAGGGGAGGACTGTGGGCTCCAGCCACAGTCCTCCCCACCCCTGTCATGTAGCAGCACATGTTTCCCCTCGAGAATATTCCCCAGCCAGTAGAATAATCCCGACTAGCTTGTTGGTTCAGTGTCCTGATGAGCCCCAAATAGCCAGGTGAGCCTCAGTGTGCAACCCAGCGGAGCCACGGCTGTGTTCCCTGGTGGAAACATTCCTCCTTGGAAAACCAAGACCTCCAAGCCAGCAGAGCCACTTTGAGTGGTGAGAGGAACCACTCCCACTCCTCTCCCTTGATTCCTTGGCCCCACGAATTCTGGTTACAGCAGAGTAGATTCACGCCTAGCATATACCGAAGCCTTTAAGGTAGAACTCGGCCCTTGCAGGATACTGTCTCCCCGCAGCATCATGGCTGAGTCTTCCAGAGGCCATTTCACTCTATCCAGCTGCTTCTGCGTGGTGAGAGATGTGGCAAAACCTGTGAGGTACGTGATCACAAGTCCATGGCTTCACTTCATTTGCTGTGAAAGGAGTTTTTTTAACTACAAGTTCTATATAGAATGCCATGCTGGTAAATAGGGCATTCCATCAGTCCACGGTTGGTTGTGCTGGGAAAAGCATTATGCACAGGGAGTGCAAGTCCACATCCAGAAGACACATCTACTCACACAGTTTGCCAGAGGGCAATGGGACTAGTCCAGCCCTTTTTCTCTTCTTTGAGCTCTGTCCCCTGGCAGAGACCTGGGTAGTCTGTGTTTTGGTGTTTCTCATCTTCCCTTGTTCCTGCCCCTGGGCCTTGGGTCTGCTTTCCCTTGGCTACAGTCCTATTTGGTGCCAGTTGAAAGTGTCAGCCCTGACACTTACCCAGGCCTAGTTCCACATGACCCTGACACTGAACTCCCCTCTAAGATAGTTCTGACTCAAGCTCAAATGTCCTGGACAAATAATCCATCTCCATCCCAACAGCTCATAAAAGTACAGCTCTCTGATGTGTCAGCTGCAAAAGAACAGAGCCCACAGCTGGTTTCTGCAGTGCTCAGAATGTTCGTCCAACACTGGCCCCCTGCCTTGTAGAGGTGAGCGGGAAGCCCAAGGCGGTACCCTCCCAGAACTCACAGTCTGAAGGGGGCAAGGTCCAGGACACAGCAAGGGAGATGTGAAGGGAGGTGTGCAGAGGGTAGTGGGAGCGCTCGGGTGGGGCTGTAGCATCCCAGGAAGGCCGGGGAGGAAGCAAGACCTCCTGGAGGATTGGAGGTTCAAATGTAATCAGTGGGGGCTCAGGCCAGTGGACGGGTAACCTTCACTCACTCGGACTCTGCAAGTACAGACCTGGGCTCCATGCTGGAGGTGTCCCTGTGGGTGAGGCTGGCCGTAAATGGTACCAGTTCCCAACAGTCCGTTGTGCTAGGCACTGTGATCATTTCCCATGCACGCTTCGCTTAGCATGCCCTGTATGTAGATTATTATGGTCCCCTTTTAACAGATGAAGAAACAGGTTAGCACCTTGCAGAAAGTCACATGTCCCGTAAGGACAACCTGACATCTCCCTGCACCCCCAGCAACTTCCCCTCCTGTAATCCAAGTGTTCCCACCTCCCCCTACCACAGCCTCCACAGCCCCACCCCAGGTAGTAACTCACCCTGGATATGGAGAACAAAAGGTAAAAGAAATGTAGAAGAAAACATAATTGAATTTCCTTCACAGCCCATTGACAATACTTGAGAAAAGCAGAGTGACCTTCCGCCAGGAACTCAACGGCCTCAAAGCGAATACTTGGCTGGAGGCAAAAGACAACCTAGCTTGACATTAGCCTGACCTCCAGGGTCCTGTAAGTCTTCTTTAACATGTAAAAATCTCATCCGGAAACGAACGTCCTTTATCTCTACCGCCCCCCCCCCCCCAAGATATATGTTAGCAATCATCCTCCAAGCTTATGGGCCCTCTGATGTCCATCTGAATGGTCTCCTGACTAAGGTTTTACCAGATGGTACTGAATGAACTTACCCTTACAGCAGCCAGCCCCTCAAGGTCCTGGAACGTCGCTTCCAAATTCCTTAGAAACTCACGCTGTCCCTAACCCCTCCCAACTTGAAAGTATATAATCAGTCACTCCT